AAATTTTCCAGTCACGGTGGAGTATCAACCGGCCGGTCGCAGTCATTCAGCTTGTCATTGGTTAGGAGCCACTAAAGCAAGCATGGCCATTGGCGCTTCTCTGTTCACCGCATCTTTTTTCTTTTCCTGTTTCATTCTAGTCTCTGCTGTCGTTTTTTTTTCTGTTTTTTTTTTTGTACTTTTTTTTTTCGCTTTTTTTTTTTTTTTTTTTTCTTTCTTCTTTTGCCTGCATTCATTCTCTCCCCACTCTCAATAATAGCTTGCATTGCTGGCTGGTCGACTCAGCAAGCGGGGCCCAGTCATCTCGAAATGAAGTCGACGGAGAATTACAAACGGTCCAGCACGATAAGGCCTTAGACCTCAGGCATGCAAGAGGCAAAATTTCCTTGTCCTACAAGCTCTCTGACTCAAGGGGTGACAGGAAGAGGCTCCCCACAGGGATGAAATTTCTATCGAGTCCATGGAGGGAGCATGAGCCTGTGAGCTGGAATAGTCGAGACCCTAGTCACTCCTCTCGTTGGGTACCTGAAACTGCAGATGGCGTTCGGAAACCGGTCGAACGGTCATCGTGCTCGAGGGCATGGAACGACCGGGCAGGGCTAGAGTGATAGTCCTAGGAGACTAAGCCGATGGCGCTTACGAGATTTCTTGATTCAAGTGCCCATTTAGATTAGTTCTATGACTATTGAATCGCTGTGTCAACCTGATGACTTGGCCCGCTCCCCCTCCCCCTCCCCTCCCCGTTCCTCTCTTAGTAGTCATAGTCATTTCCCGGTCGAACCGGATTCAAAAGAATCATGAGCTGCGGACGGAGTCACCAGTAGGCGGGAGAGAAACAGTGGGTGACTCATACGTTGGTCTGACAGTCAATCACTGGACCTATCGCGTGGAGAGAAGTACGGAGTATTCTTGAGGATTGATCGTGGTCCGTCAGAGTTACTGAATAAGTTGATTAGATCATAGCTATGCAGGCAGGAGTGCAGATCTCTCCCAAGCCTCTCTGCTCGAGGGCGTAGACTAGCAGGCACACGCCTTCCTGGGCATCCCGAGTATCGTGGCATGCAAAACGCGGGCAGGTGAAGACTATTCGAACCGCGAGCCACTTTTCTTGAAGTAAGGATAACTAAGGGACAACATGTTGGACCGTGCTCTATCTCGGGATCTGCCCCTTCCTGCACAGTGACACAACAAACCCATCCCCCTCCCTCTCCCCGCGCCCGGACACCGATCGGAACTTCGACTCATCACAAGATTATATCATTGTGCCCCGTATATCGCGGGTTCCTGATATCTCCTCCGACCTCTACACGAGATTACCGCCGGATGAGAGAAATCTGCCTGTTCTACCTACTGTATTGGATGGATGCGGCGGCGGGCCATCCATTGGACACACTGGCCTCGGAATGAGGTCAATCCCACCTCTGAGATTGGCCGAGCCACAGCTTCGAACGGCTAGTCTAGTCCCCGCCGGGCTTAGTGCTGCTGCGTTGGGAAAGGTGCAGCCTTCAATGCCGCCCTGCAATTCGAATCCTGCAACAACATCGAACTGTACTATATGTACCTAGGTGCAGTGTCCTGCTGTCCCTGTCTGTAGCCCAAAAGGGGTATACTCCCTTCGTAACGAAGTCGCTGGACTGCCTTTTCTGTGAATCAACTACCGCGTTATCCCAGGGTATGCATTGATGCACCGATCTAAGGGAGAAGACTATGTTCCACCCCGAAGCTGTTACAATGGCATTGAATGACAAATGCACTTCCAGGGGCGGCGGTATCTTCCATCCGCCAACAATGGATCCATCCCCCGCCATCAAGCCAGGAAGCCAACCACAAAACTACGAGGATACCAGTCATCTTGAGTAGACCAGCCGATTATCACAATCTAGATTATGAAACAACAGGTTGATGAAACCAGATCCCCAGGACCCAACACTTCCGAATCATTACTACGGCATACAATCATGCAATACCCAAGCTCCCCCAGCAGCGAACCCCAATCCTGATATACGAAGGTAGTCCAAACCAACACCTCACAATCCGACTCTCAAACCGTATGACCACCCCCAGCACGATTCCTCCAACTTCCATGATGCGATAGAAGATCTCGAGCCCGGATCCTTACCCTTCCGGGTATAAACAATCTCCAATCTCTCCACCGCGGTGGCGAGTTACGTAGTCACCACGGCCCTCATTACCATAGCACTCAGTAAGAGCGCTGGAACATGCGGTAGACAATTCCATCACCACACGATAACTCCTCCATACGTAACCGTATAATTCGGTGGGCATGGCAGCCTGTGCCCTGTGGCATACTTACATGCATGGCGCATGCATGCATGTACATGTGATTGGTTACAAAGAAGCGGTAAGGGGAGAGGGACAGCTGGCCGGGGAGGTTAGAGTACCAGGTAGTTAGCTGGGCGTGGATGAGATGAACTGATTTCTTGGGAGGTCTATTCGTATCAGCATCGCATTTGGCTTCTTCTCTGGCTCTCTCAGCAGGAGTGGGCTCGAGTCCTGTAGAATCATAGGGGAGGAGGGAGGCCATCGGCAATTGAACAAACCGACCACCCCTAACAAGACCACGTGCAACCCATTCAGCCATGGATAAGGAAACAAGTACTTACTCTACCACATATCAAGATGATACGAGCAGCATGCCCCTCCTACCCTTTCCCCTGTGTAAACTAGCACCTCAATCTCCGTTCTCAAACGCAGTACGGAGGTCCTCCGTAGATCTGGCATCTTTCCATCGCTCTTCCTGAACCATTCTTCAAACATCGGTGCCCATATGACTTTGCGTCGCAATCTCCCAAGTCCAATCGTTCCTTTCCGGCTACCAACGAGAACCTAACTCCATTCCAGTAACAAAGCTTCGAGTCTCCCCCTTTGAATGACAAGATTTTGAGATCTTGCATTGGGGGGGGGGGGGGGAGGGACGGGCATGGGCATGGGCCAAAGGTACAATACCGATACTGCATACATGTACCCGTAATACCAATCTTCCAGGCACTAGATTCATTTTAGAAAAGCTCAGGGTGGAGCGCAGGCTTACTACACGATCCACCCTCCGCCACAACTAACTAACGCAGAGCCCCATTGGCCAATGCGGACGACGACTTTTTCTCGTGCCAAATGGGGGGCCCTGCACCCCGCAATCATGGATCTATCGTATCAATGGGCGGGCGTCAATTTGGCCTTCTAGCCGTCCCTACACTACATCGAAGATACTCTAGTCAAAGCTTGCAGATACTTTGAGGTCATGTGCTACCCACTAGTAAGGTCTGCGGCCCCTTGCTGAAGATTGAGGCAATCATGACTATCTCGATCTATGTGGTCACATGATACGTCGAGAAAGTCGACCCTCCTCTGTCGAAGGGAGCGGAGCTGGGGGTCCTCGGGCAATAACTATCGAGATTCTCACAAAGAATTGGGAAGATATCGCCACCCGGAGACAAGTCGCCCGCAATCTCGGATCTTTCTGCCCGCTCCGTTACGCAACCGCGGATCATCTCATCTTTTTTTGGGACATGAAGACGATTTAGGAAAGGGAAAAGGCCAGGTGGCCAGTATATGAGTGGATTTGTGAACTGACTCAGCGATAAGAGAACCTGAAACTCCAAACAAATACACAAGACGTGATGGTATCAAACAGATATTCGTGACAAAAACTCTCTCTTACGTGACTATCAGCCGTTCTTCCTCAGGTGATTATCCAATTCAGGTGCCAGGATATGGTTCTATCTTTGGGGTGGTCGGTTTCGGCTCGGACCTGGTCCAAATCGAAAGCCTGGACTTGCTCCGTTTAGGTTTCGAGATTGACGACTCCTCGGGGGTCTCGTTCTCTTGACTCTTCTGGCTATCTTCTGCAGCGGGGCTGGTGGCTGCGGCTGCTGTATGGCGTGCATGTTGTGCCTCCTCGATCCCCTGTCGGATTTCCGCGGCAGACGCTCCCTGCGGCGCTGTGGTGGTCAAGGTCTCCGTGGCCCGGATTCTGTCTTGATCCGTGGAATTCTCGTCATTCAATTTCTCGATCTCTTCTTCAGTGACTAAACGCTCGTTCTCCAACCGAACCTCACGGCCGCGCTTGTGGCAGTACCAAAGAACGAACAATAGGACTGCTGAAGTCAGTGACGAGATAATCTATGATGTAGGATGAAAATGGCAACTTACTAGTCAAAGCCAACGACCATAACACATTGAGCCCCAGCACGGCCGGGAATCGAGCCCGGAGAAATGCCACGATCGAGCGTAGCATCCCAACCAGCGCGGCCGGTTTTCCCACCAGCTCTTTCAAGGTAGGCACCTTGATGCCCATCTTGTTGGCGGCCGCGGCTGCTTTGCCCACATTCTCGACGCTGAGGCCGCTCTGACTGGCTTTGGCGGTGGCCGCCGCGAGCACCTCCGGCGCCAGAGTCTCTGTCCACTTCTCGGGCAGTTTCTGGATCAGCTTCTGGATGAACCCGGGCAGCTGGGAGTACGTGCTCTGCAGCTGCTTGTTCCCGTTGGTGAGCAGCATCTCGAGGTCATGGTAGGCGGTGGGCACGCCGTTGACGAGGTCCTTGAAGATCAGGGTGAACTTGCGCAACAACTCCCGCGTTTCATTGCTCATCGAGAACACGCGATTGTTCTCTGCCGCCAGGTTCAGCCGCTCCAAAATCTCTGTCATATCTTCCTTCTCCTGGTCGACTTCACTTTGATCCGTCTCGGCGGCCTGCTGGGCCTCGCTCGGCTTGTTGTCTGCTTTGGTAGGCGCCTCATTCGTAGTTTCGGTCTCCTTGAAAGGGTAATTGTCAATATGCAAATACACATACAAGACCCACCAAAGTGCATGATGAGCATACTGTACCTTTTTCAAGACCGTGCTCCGTCGCCGCAGCCAATTCCACGGGCCCTTCCTTTGCGGCGGCGAGGAACTCTCAACCTTGGATGCTGCTGCTGCCTCTGGCGCATTCGCCCCAGCCGTACTCCCATTTCGTTCAGTAGTAGAAGCAGTAGCCTCCCGTGCCTTGCGCTCCTCCTCCCCCAGCTCTCTCCCGTATTCCTCCACCGGGGACACCGGGGACTGCGCTGCGGGAGGCTCTTGGACCTCCGTCCCTACCGGCGAGACAGGCGAGGCCTGGCGATTCAGTTCGGTAGCTTGTGGGGCGGGCTCTTGGCTGCTGTTCGCAGGATCATTCATGATCCCGCGTAGAAAGGCTTCATCATCGGCCGTCAGTACTGGGTCATGGGGCTGGGGAGGTGGTTGTTGTTGTTGTTGTTGTTGTTGTCGCATGGACGCACGCCTCCAGGTCTTGAATTGCTGCATGATTGGGACTTAGCGCATATTCTTTGAATTATGTTATCAAGTGAAGTTTTGATTTTCTTTGTCGGAGCAAAAAGATCTCAGGAAATGCGAGATAAATAAATAGGCAGGATGTGGAAAAGGGAGCCGTTTGCCAGGGGACGCAGGCGGATGCGAAGGGAGGGAGGGGATATGCGTGGGTGGGACAAGGCAAGTATGGAACGGTCTACTCCACTTGCGCGCGTGGAGGATGAACCAGATAATGATAAACGCTTCTAGTTCTGGTGTTGGCTTGATATTGTGCTTAAATATTTGAAAATCTTTGTGATGGTAAAAAAGTTGCAAGAGAGTCCAACGAAGAAAATAAGAAAAAATGGTCTTGGACGCGCCAGCCTAGTAATCTGATGGGAGGGGGGGAAGGGAAAGGCGCTCGCTCATGGGCGATGCGATGATATCACCCTTTCAAGGACCGCGTCACATGCAAGGGTCCCCGCATGTGCCACGCGCCACCGCCACATGCTCGCTGCATGCACCGCCACAATCTGTTATCCGGCGCGATATGATGTTGGGATCGTCAATTGGTCTGTTCTCAACTCTATCCTGCACGGACTTTTGCATATCCGACAAACGAATCTTATTAGTCTCAGCAATCTATGGAAGCAATCTGCATAACACACTCGAAGAGCAATTCATTAAAAGAACCCAAAGAGAACCGAAGCGCAGCAAGCATGCATGTCAATCCTCACAACCCAAAGAAATAAGCATCCCTCAACCGCGTCGCATAAAGATTCAACGTCTTCTGGTTCGACCTAAGAGCCATCTGCATCGGCTCCCAGGCGTCCTTCCCGGTGACCGCAAACCCTCTGCTCTGCTCGCAGCACGCACACGCCGCGGTGCAATGGCCCCGATGCTGCGGCCGCCGCTCACTCCGCGTCCGCCGACAGCAGCCGCACTCCCGCGCGCAACAGCCTTTGCGGCGGGCGCATTCCGTCCGCATCCACTCCGACAAGTACCAGTCCTTGTCCTTGCAGCAGCTGACCAGGGCCCGTCGAAGGGGGAGGGAACCGAGGCGAGCGTGAACCATGTCCAACTTGCGCTCCTGATGCCAAATGCCTTCTGAGAGCGAGCGCAGTTCTTTCTGCAGTGCCTCCATCCTCGAGACCATCGATGCGGTTGTCTTCTTGTCGTCGATGCTACTACTGTTGATTAAAAGGGCTTTCTGCTCCGCTTGGAGCCTGACTTCTCGCTGGACGTTGAAGCGCAGCTTGGTCTCCGCTTCGATGTATTCTAATATCAATTCGTTTACGTTGCGCGATTGCCATTCGTGCTGCCACGGCGGAGCTTTTGTGCTGCTTTCCGGCTGCCGGTTCCCCCGAGCAGTTTCTCGAGGAGTTCCAGGAGGGATAGAGGCATTTTGTTAGGGGTTGACGGCTGGTTGTTGCCAGCCGCGGGTCTCAGGCAGGGTGTACGATCTGGATGAGGGCGAGTACGATGGAGAAGAAAAGGCACGGTACTATAGAGTCTAATCCTTATATGTCCCATACTTTTCAAGATGCGTCATGGCTAACGTTGTCCCGTATTCGTCATTATTACCTGTCAAGGCGGAACCAATTTGTTATCTAGTCGACATCCGAATCACTGAGGTTGATGCAAACCCTTTCATCATTTCGGAGGTAGATAGATAAGCCACGTGCCCTTCATTCCAGCAGTACCAGCACCAAGCCCACTTAGTGCTCGATCATTTCCACTCCTCTGTAGTTCCATCCCATGTTACAACAAGAAGTGGTCGTACCGGTGCATCTTAGCGAGACCGCAACCATAGTTAGCATCACTCCATCTTTGTCTTGTGACTATCTCAGTCGGCATAAAGTGCCCGACAGTATAACTATCTATCCAGTCACAAGCATCTTAGAAGCTATGAACTGTTGTTTGACTGACAGAGTTGAGTGTCGGGGTCCCAGACTAGTTTCTTGCTGTACCCCCCCCCCCCAGCGAGTGGCTTGCCTCTGGATGTCGGTTATACGAACCTTCCAATACTGAAAGAAGCGAAAACATGAAGTTCTCCTTGAAGGCCTCTCTGATCTGATCAAGCTTTCACCGCTTCATCGCCCAGCAAGCGGCGGAACCTTGGTCGTGAAACAAAACCCTAATCACCATATTTGACTTCCATCATGTCTAGCACTTGCTGCGTGATAGTCAAGTGCTCGCCAGTGAAAATGCGAAGAGCTTTGAACGCGCCGAGAGTTCTGGAATCTGCTTATAGAGCCTCAGCTGCGCTTCCACTGCAGACACGCGCTTATCATTCCGCATTTGCGGAAGCCTATTCGAGTTCTTGAATCAGTTTGCTCCGTTAGCAGACGGAGCAATGGATGGCATGGTGTCCTTCCCACCAACGAATAGGGGGGCTAATGCACCACGTGCAACTTTTTGAGAGATCGTCGGCCAGTATCAACCCCAAATCCGACATATGGATGGCATGAATACCCCCGAAATGACCTTGAAGTCGTCACTGCCAGAACCTCCCTGCATAATCCCCAAACAAGGTTGGGGATTCTTGGCCGATGTTCTGGCCGTAGCCAATGCAGTTCAACGCAGCAGTACTGTATGTAGGGCCTTAGCCAATATCTCCTCCCAAAGCTTGATTCGGTGCCTTTCGGATGCTTCTCCTTGACCCACTAGAAACTGAAATGGTCTCCGTCTGAGGAGGAAAATTGCCTCCTGCTCTTGTTCGGGGTGCTGGAGCACTGGTTCACTCAAGTTCGACAGGACTAGCCATTGTTTGTTTGGGTCGATTCCAGTGCCCGGGCTGATTCCGCTTCGTGAGAACCAGCGATACTATATCTAACCTATCTGGTAACAACGGTGCCAAATGTAGAAGCAGATGCGCACACAGTCAGGCTTTAGGACTTGATGTACTGTCTGGCCCAGCCCTAGGTGCATTAGTCATGTGTGGAGACAAGATGCTCAGGCTCGGTGTAGAATAGTGGGAATGATATGCGCCACATCTAGACCAGATCGGTGACTTGAATAGTTCATGACGACCTTGCCTAGACTGATAACCTTGGGTCGTCTGTCTGATTCAGTAAAAACCTGGTGCATCCTCCTCAACTCCGTCCATTGATGGCATAGCAAATGGAGGATCTCCAAGTCAAATTCAGCCTAGATGCTTGAGGCTTCAATTCTGAGACTCGTTATGTCCTCCAAAGATCCTTTCTCATCGAGTATATACTCGCCCACTGCGTCAGGAAAAGGCTGTCCGGATATTGCGGTGGCATGCCGGGTAGGGCGATATTTTCGGCTCCGGACTTGGACCTTTTTGTCTGTTTCTCGTCTTTATCGCCGGTCCTTTTCTTGAATGGCATATTGGCCAATGTCTCCGAAAGTGCGTCAGAATCAGCTGGGGATTTTCTGTCGAAGTTGAACTCGTAGATGGACTCAAAGTCAGACCCCGGATCGGTGTCAAGGTGTCAACTTCACGACACAAGACTTGGAAGACCGAGAAGGGGAGTTCTTGCTTGGTTCACATAGAACCGTGGCCGTACAACTTGGCTCTTGGTTTGAAGCCAGTCGGCAGGCTAGGTTGATTCTGGAGGTACTAGTAGCCTAGCAAACAGAGACGTCTCTAGTTGCTGAATAAATTCGTTCTGATATGAAGTCTCTCCCTAGCTCATTGGGAGATACTCAAGATTATCAGGATGAGCAAAGCATGTATAATAGGAGACCTTTGATATGACAAGATGGAGTAAGTGTATCAAAGACCGAAGATATGTTGATTGGATTCTGTAAACGTACACATAGTATGAGAGGAAGAGATGCTTGCTGGAGGAGCTTTTGGAAAAGAGAGAAGAGGAGAAGGAGAGCAGGACTGGAAAAGTTGATATTTGAGAATATTCAATAAGCTAGGGCTATCATACAGTGTGAATATGGACGATATGCCGCCGGCCAAGTTCTGCAATGTAGGCGCCGCCTACCACCAGTGAATTACACAATAGCTACTTGACTGAAGAACCATTCAATTAATCCAATTTAACGTCCTCTCTCAAGAATTCTACAAGGGAATTGGCTGCCAGACTGTTCTAGGGCAAAATCGTCACTATGCCCGCTCTGGCAGCTGACCCGCCGGCCTCGTGTCGGGTTCGGCCTGTGCCGCTTCTCACCCGGCGCTAGTCGGATCGCTGCCTGTTCGTCTATATAGAAGCTGTAATCTGCCCCTGAGTCATCGTCTTTTTTCCTATCCTAACAACAAATCTGCTAACAACCACCGCAATTCTACCTCCACTTTACAAAGATCACCCCCCAAGAATGGCGCGCGATACCCCATCCGAGCTCCTAGCCGCCAACCCCCTAGACCTAACCCCCTACGAATCTCTCTACAAGCATTTCCACGCGCACCCCGAGCTCTCTAAGAGAGAAAAAGCCACTGCCGAAAGGGTAGCAGCTCATCTCGCACAGTGGGATGCTTTCGAGATCCACACCCAGATCGGGGGCCACGGAGTCGCCGGGGTCCTGCGCAACGGGCCGGGAAAGGCCGTGCTTCTGCGGGCGGACATGGACGCTCTCCCCGTGCAAGAGATCACAGGCTTACCCTACGCCAGCACGGTCACGATGCAGGACGCCAGCGGCGCGGAGAAGCCGGCCATGCACGCCTGCGGTCACGACATGCATATCACGTGTCTGCTGGCGGCAGCCGAACGGCTAGTGCGGATGCGGTCCGAATGGAGTGGCACGCTGATTGTGGTGTTTCAGCCGGACGAGGAGCGCGGGGAGGGTGCCCGTGCAATGGTCGACGACGGTCTGTACGACAGGATCCCCGTGCCGGATTATGTCTTCGGCCAGCATGTGATGCGCATGCGCGCGGGGAGCGTGGGCTCGCGCCCGGGGACCCTCATGGCTGCGGCGGATAGCTTGAGAATCACGCTGTTTGGCCGTGGGGGCCACGGGTCCCTGCCGCATCAGACGGTGGATCCGGTGCTGCTGGCGGCGAATGTGGTGGTGCGGCTGCAGGGGATCGTGAGCCGCGAGATCGACCCCAGTGATCTGGCCGTCGTGACCGTCGGGAGCCTGCAGGCAGGCCAGGCGGAGAATGTCATCTCGGACACCGCCGAGCTGGGCGTGGATTTCCGCTCGGTGAGCGTGGAGACCCGGGACAAGATCCTCGCCGCGATCAAGCGTATCGTCGAGGCCGAGTGCATGGCCAGTGGCTCGCCGCGGCCTCCGGTTTTCACGCCCACCCGACACTTCCCACCCACGATCAACGACAGGGAAGTCACAGCGGAGCTGGCTTCTTGCTTCGCGGAGCATTTCGCAGACAGCTTTGACGCCGATACACCTCGGACGAATGTTAGCGAGGACTTCTCGATCCTTGGCACCAGCCAGGGCCGTCCATGCTCGTTTTGGTTCTTTGGCGGTATCGATCCGGAGGTGTGGGACGAGGCAGAAAGCAAGGATCGCCTCCACGAGATTGCTGGCAACCATTCAGCCTCGTTTGCTCCGGCGATCCAGCCGACGATGAATACGGGAATGGACGCGCTCTGTGTCGCGGCGTTGACGTATCTGCGGAAGTAGACCTCCTGAATGTCAGATCTATGCATATAAAACGATTGCTACAATTTTCAACTGGGTCTTGAGCCCTACTGCGTTGGAGACAGAGAAAGGATTCCGGTGTTCCCTTTGGCAGAGTTTCATTTGGAGTCGCTGTTTGCGAAGGTCTCATTGTCTTTTCGTCAGTGATGTTGGCCATGGATGCGGCAGGATAACAAGTGTGAAAATCGATTCGAGACTGGAACTAAGTCGATACAGTCAAAACAAGACATGTAGTGGATGGAGAAAGAAGTGAGATTGAGGGAAAGGGAGAGAGGCAGTAAAATGATCCATCCTCTCAATTCTGAAGCCAAGCACAAGCAGCGCTATACCGGAAAAGTCACGCATGGCAGAAACCTGTGCTGGAGCCTGGAGCATAGAGAGGTTCATATGCAGACAATTTGCATATTCAAACACCAAAAGTAAGAGGCTAGATAGATGGATATTATGGACGCAAAACCCGTTTACCTTGGAGTCTTATACAATCTAACCCTTCTATTGCATGTCTCCAACCTTCGCAGGTTACTTCGTGAACTACGCCGACAAACCCAGTACTTTTACCGAAGAGTCCAATGGCGGTGCCAAAAACGAGTTCTGAATAGAGAGTAAAAGTATTTTCGACAATGCCTTCACTCAGTTCATACCCATTCCAACAGCACGCTATCATAAATCCATCCGCGAAACAGCGTCGACTTGGTGATCGTGAACTCCACGGAGTTGGTCCCATTGCGAAGCGCAGCTGCCGTGACCGGGAACTCCAGCAGATGCCACTCCCCCGCCAACGTGCCACACCGATAACTGCTAGGGTCACTAGCAAGAACACTTGAGCTGATCGTTCCAACGGAAATCCCATTCACCGAGACCGTAGCTGAACTCCCTGCGCTAAACCCGGCCAGCGCAACTGACAGGACCGCTGACCGTCCCTGGGACGTCGAGTTGCGGGGAAGATCGAACTCCACCGTCCACGTACCCAGCGATGACTGTTCGAAGCACCAGTCCTTACTCTGGCTCTTCCCCACGGTGAAGGTCAGGTTGGCTGGGCAGTTGAGTCCCCTCGCGAATTCGTGGGGAGCCCCGCTGTAGGCAAAGCCGGTGGCCTTGCGGTCGACCTCCCCAACCTGCCAGATGACTTCGCGGCCTTGCGGAGCCCAAGTCACGTCCCCTAGCCACAGGGCTTCGCCGCTGTGGACAGAAATGTCGTTCTTCTCGAGGACAGTGGTCACACCGCTTGCCGCGTCGCCTCCAGCAGCGAAGACACGAAGGCCCCATGTGCCCTCACGGACATTCTCCAAGGTGAAATACCCGTTCTCATCGGCATAGGTCCGGTAGTAGTACCAAGCTCCTTGGTCCAACGTGCTAGTATTGGATTGGTTATCACCCAAGAAGACTGCCGCCCCGCTCGCAGCCTGGCCGTCGGAGAGCACGATGCGTCCTCGGAGACTGCCGCGGGAATGGTATCCATGGCTATCCTGCATCCAGTCGTACGGCCAAGCCGCAGTCTCCTGCTTGGCGCGAGTTGCCGCATCTTCGATGGAGCCATCATTCTGTCACAATTGTCAGATATGTTGAAGCCGCTGGATACGGAGAGCATTGTGGGCGAAGCTTACCAAGTACCACAACCACGGACCCCAGGTCTTACCTTCTGGGAACACGTCGCTGCTGACGGCCTGATAGTGTGTCCCATGAATCATGTTTAGCTGCACCGCATCCCCAGTCTGACTTTCCCGGTGCACCAACAACTCCTGCTTCAGATGGTTGCCGTTGAGATAGTCTTTGCCCCCATGAATATACCACGAGCCCACTTGCTCGCCACTCGCCTCTTGGCCACCCAGCGGCCCGTAGAGTCCCCAGAGAGCGGACTGCCCTTCAATTACCGGCAAGAAGGTTGCAAAATCATATTTTGTAATGTAGGTGCCGTCAGCTTGCTGCCAAGTCTCATCCTGGATCTTGACGGCATTCACAATGTCCGAGAGGGGTGGCAGCGCCTCGTTCCTCTCGTCTGTCCACCCGTGGGTAAAGCTATCGTTTGCAAGCCGCCAGAGCGTACGAAATTCACCGAGAGTAGGTAAGGCTTTGTTCACAAAGTACTGATATGCGCCCGTCAACGTGGGTGTCAGGACCCAATGGAATTCCCCCTCTGTCGCGGTAAAGACGATATCGGTGTAGTCGCCGGTGACTTTGTGTATCCGGGCATTGGTAAGATTTAAGTCGCTTTGGGCTCCATCTAACAAAAGGTTAGATGTAACTTAAGAGGTACAATGAACGCGGACGAAGGAGAAAAGGAAGGGGGGCCATACTGTAGGACACATAGTGACCCCAAGCGTCACCCACAAGGTCAACATTCTTATAGTAGAGCTTGGTGCCATACTGACGACCAATGGTGGCATTCCAGAAGTCATTTCCAATGATAGCCGTTTCATCGTCCACATTGATTAGAAATGGTGGCTTCGGATTTGACCGGGCCACCGGCGAGGCGGACGATAGTAAGCCCAAGGCCAACCCAGTTACGAGAGATGCCAACATGATGCGGTTTGGCTCTCTGAATGGGAATCATTGGACTGGATACGGTACCGCTGTATCTTTATGGTCCAACTATCCCCTCTTCCCGCCGCCCGCCAAGCAGAGTGAAGGTGCATTGTGTATAGAACGAGCCGGATAGGAATTACCCCGAGCTCTCGTGGGGAGGAGCATAGGGTACAGGGCCAAGAGTTGAGCAGGTTGGTTCCCTGCAGGTCCTCCGGCGGAGTGACCAGTGTAGTTGAGTGGTTGTGGGTATTCCCCAGTGTTTCCCCGCCTTCCAAGACATGCAGGTGCATGAACCTGCTTCCCCAGTCCTCTTGGCACGGGTCCTCCGCGAGTGGTGCTTGATTGTTCTTCCACCACACAGATCATCTGCTCTGTTCAACTCGGGCTAATACGAGGCGACTGTTACAAGCTGGTAAAGAGGCGGATTGTAAAGAAGATCGGTAAATTGGCGTGAAGTCTGAGTTGGCTCATGACGTTCTTGTGCTCATGTTATGCGGCAATCAAATTGCTGTAAACATGTCAACAGAAATGAAGAAACATCCTTACAGCATTGCAGCAATAACTCTTGACCTTGGTATTCTGCTCATGGGTCCAAGACTGCCAGTCCCAGATCTCCTCGATCTTCCAAGTTGCCTGTTCTCATCCCCAGGACGGGGTGTATGAACCTAGCTATCGGCCCGCAGGCTACCAGGGTAGACCGACTTTCAAATATACCCTATCCGTGCTATAACCTAGACAAGTACCTACCCTGTGTGCGAGACAATGCCGAAGTAGCTGGAGTCAGATGCCAGCCCTACGCTGAAATCCGTGACCATGATGCTTTTGATACTAGACTGAAATCAGGCATTCTGCTTGAATTGGGTGATCGAATATAGTCAGTTTTGCTATACTACATTTCCCTCAGTTAAAGGCAGAGAATCTTTGGTCCTAGCTAGGCAGCATCATTTTGCACAACTGTACATGGCTATGTGACCATCGAAGTACTTCTCCATTCGTGCCACTTTGGGAAACTTCCATCTCTAAATACTTCAAGTATTGACCCTCCAATGCTCACTACAGCGAGTTTACGAAGAGCTCAACACGAAAAGTAGATAATAGATCAAGATAAGATGAAGATGAAGCGACAAAGTTGCATTCGCATGAAGACCAACGATTCGCTTGCAAGCAGTCTAGAATATCTATACAGCAATGAAATCAACACCATCAACAGCCAACCCAATATATACCAAGACATAGAACAACATCATAACCATCTCGCTTTCTGGGCCATAACAGGAGAGGCCCCAGACCCGACAATGAACCTCTTTCCCCCTCCATGCCACAGAACCAACAATCAATATGGTATCACAGATCGGGTGAATCGGTTTCGGACCGACGAAAGGTTGCGCAATATAGCTGTCGGGTCGAAACCCTTCTTACCACCCCCCAGGACCGCCGGGGCCACCGGGACCTCCTGGGCCTCCAGGGCCTCCAGGACCACCGCCGGGGCCGCCAAAGCCACCAGGGCCACCAGGGCCGCCAAAGCCACCAGGAGGCCCATCGGGACCGCAGCAGTCACCACAGCAGCAGAAGCAGTCAAGGCAGCAGCAACAACTATGAAGCATGTCAGCATAGTCCCGGGTATACAGTGACCATTGGTCGCTTACTCGTCGCCAGGCCCAGGGGGGGGACCGCCACCACGCAAATGCATGTTCATCTGATTATCGGGCGTCTATGTCGCATGGCGTTAGCTGTAATCTGATCAATTGCGGAGGAACTGTGGTCCCACGTACGGGCTGCTCAGCAACAACAGCGTTGGTGGAAGGAGACTCAGGGCTCTGAGGTTGGACCATGGTCAATGTGTTTGGGTCCCAGGTAGTCTGGGGCGCTTCCTCCTTCTTGGACGAGCTGAACCAGCTGAAGAGACTGTCACCGAACATGGTGTCGAGGATTTGTTGTTTAGGTATGAGTATGTATCTGTGATGTGGTGAGTTAGGACAAAGAGAGGCGATCGCAGCAAAGGGAAACGGCGTTCAATTTAAAGGGGAGTATTAGAAAGTTGTAGAGGGAATCAATGGATCCTCGCTATAAGGTTGACCACTCAGCGAGCTGTCTGACATCTACTATTTACGGCGCGCCACACCGAGTATGGGGCGAGCCATACTTCAATTAGTTCGAATGTCCAAATTGGTGCGTTGTCGTCGCAGCTTTCATCTCTTCTTCTCGGCCCAGAATTGGGTGAGGGTCATCGTTGTGGATCCATCCGATCGAGGCGTACGTATACTCCGTTAGGCAGACAATTTGTCCACTGCATAGATGATTGTGGCTATCGACCAGGTTTCATGACGTACTGGGCTGAAGAATCATCAAATGTAGTTCAGGATGATACCGTTTTGTCTGCATGGTGACCTATTGTGATAGCACCATATTCATGCATGGAAAAAGGGGGGTGTTGTTGGCTGTAGAGCTTGCCCCGAAAAAGCTTCGCAGAAGAGATGTCTCGGCAAATTTGCCAAGATATATAGAGTGAAAATGCTCATTTTTCTGCGGCCTACTAGACCGATAGATCGACCGAATGACTTCCAAAGGAGCCTGGCTAAGCCAATTGTCGTCCCATTCCAGAATGTCGAGCCGTATAATGTGAAAACCTTGGGGAAATGAATTTATGCGGACAATGGGGGCGGTATGCATGCTCTTAGAGGGATTCTTGGAGCAGTCGCCCGATGTTTCATCGCAATCGAGCTCTATCTATCAGCGTAAAATCCATGTCTCAATAAGAGTCTAGAATTTAAGGCGCAGCACCGTGACCAAGTATGGCTCTAAATGGCCGACGCGTAGTCTAAGTATCAATCAGTCTCAGCCACAGTGCGATGTCGGGGGCCTCGGGGCGAGCCAATGACTAAGCGGCATGTAGACAGACCGTCTCATCGTCCCAACAGGAGTGGGCAACAGTAACGGGCCAGGGACAAGTAAGGCTTCCTTGGACCCTGTGATCCATGGTTTTTTGCACGACGGCTTGCGTGTTCGCCAGATCTGTATTGAGGTGGCTCTACTTCAGCCTTGTAGCAGTCGTGGGGCGACAATAAATTCTCTAGGGCAACATCCTGCCCAAGTCATTGAGATGCCCACAATACTGTTAAAACGTGCCGATCATACATTGTAAGGAACGAAAACATGCGAATGCTGCCGTCTTTTGAAAAGTCTATAGCCATCGAAATTGATTTAGGCTTGTTTGATCGGATAGCTAAGTGAGGTGAGTGGCCATCAAAAGTAGCATCGGCGTTAAGATAGATGGTTGAGGAGTCCAGTTGTTCGCACGGGGTGAAAGACAGGGCCAGCCCGTAAAGCAGCCAACAGCAAAGATTAGAGTATGATATTTAACAAACAGATGCTGCTCCACGTCAGAAGAATAGGGCTCCGGTGGCAGGGCTCTGTAAAGCTTCTGTTTGGTCGGAAAAGGGTCCCCAGTATCAGGGTGTATGTTCGGGATGCACAGACCGAATTCGCAGAAGCTGGTATATAGCATCCGTGCAATAGCACTTGGTGATTTTAGCTCTCGGTCCAGAATTTGACTGGGAGCTTTCAATGAGCTTTCAATGAGCTTTCAATGAGCTTTCAATGAGCTTCCAATGAGTCTGTACCGTTTAAGGCAGAATGACTGGGTGACTAGTGCGTGTCGACAGTACTAGTAAGATATTGGGCAACAGAGCCGAAGAACTGCGAAATATATAGAGCGAGGGAAATTTTGACAGCACGTTTTGCTGTAAAGATGATTGTCCAATGCACAGATGAGCTGGCCTTTCATGGTCGAACCTACCAAGAATTATCGGTCGCTTCAGATTGATGTGTAGTTGGGTAGTGTAACTTAATCCACGACCTCGATTTCAAGTGATATCAGAGACTACAAACCTGCGAACTCTGTAAGGCCATCAGGTGGGGAGAGAAGCAGTTTCTGGGGACTATCCCTGTATTATACATAGGGACCATATTCCAATTCATCAGTGCCAAAACATTGAGTCTTAGACATTATAAGACTGTTGTCAGCGACATAAAGTTCAAAATTCTATTGATCGAATGCCACCAGTGCTAATTGTTTCTGAAGTGATCCAACAAGTGAAGGCGGAGTATAAACCAGATGAAGGCGGACTATAACAAGGCATAAAAGGTCATGGATCACGTGGTGCGGGAGTGGAGGCTCTTCCCTGAACTTCCCGAACCTCAAATCTCAGATTCTGGTCCTGCAATTGCGCGACGATCTAACGTCTCCGGCTCTTGAACCACCCGCCATTGGACCCTCTTCGTCCTCCATCTAGCGACTTCGATCAGTCACTTCCTCCCCTTCTCGTCTTTTCTTCTTTCCAAGGGTTTTCAAGATGTCCGCCCCGGCGTCCCGTGCCGTCCTCCGGCAATCGCAGTTCCTGGCTCGCAGGACCGCAGTCAGACACGCCTCTTCCACCTCGGAAGCCGCTTCCAAGGCTGGCGAGGCTGCTTCTTCCACTGCCTCCAAGGCCTCTGAGGGCCTCTCCCGTGTTCAATCCTCGGCTGGTCCTGCCATCTCCAACGCTGCTCAGGGTCTCGGTAACGCCCTGAAGAAGGTTGGTGGAAGGACCGGAAAGGTCATCTCTTTCGTCGAGAGTAAGCGAGCTCCCCTGCCCCCAGGCCGTTAGATGCTATATATCCTTCTTTCTTCTTCCTGGCTGCTGTGGTACGACAGTCAGTGCGATGGTGGTTTTGCTCGCCATAGCCGGATGTGGAGAGGATGCTTTCGGATATCACAAATACCCCATGTTCGATCTTTCCATTGCTAATCAAATAACTTTGCAATATAGGCATGATCCCCCCCACTGTTTACTACAGCAAAGTCGGTCTCGAGCTCGCCAAGCTGGTCTTCCGTGGACAGAACATGACTCCTCCGTAAGCGCTCCCCAGACCCAGTCGCGCCCCCGGAGAAGCACCACAGGCATTGTTGCTCACAACGATATCTAGGAACGTCGCCACTTTCCAGGCCTACCTCGAGCCCTTGATCCGCAACCCCACGAACTCCGCTTTCGCCCCCTCGAACATCATTGCCCGGATCCGCAACGCTAACAAGAAGGAGCTCGCTTTCGCCGGTGTCACCGCCGCGGAGGTCATCGGATTTTTCACCGTCGGGGAGATGATCGGTCGGATGAACATCATCGGCTACCGGGGAGAGCCTGAGCACGCCGGACACCATTAGATAAATACCACGCAGTTGTGCCTTAGCCTGTCTTCCTTCCCTTTTACACAAACAATCCCCCCCCGTTTCCTTTGTGCGCTGTACTATTGTATGATAGACGATGGAATTCAACTGTTGTCTGAGGTGACTGGTGTATTTGTTTTTTTTTTCTCTGTCAGTGGAACATGTTTGCTTTTGTTTCCAAAAAGTGCTTGGGTATCAAAAGCCTTGCTGGAAGTGTGTGCGTCCGGTTAGAAGATAGACTTGTTCCACCTGCGCTCGAATGTTCTTAGATATCTTTTTGAATTACATGTGCCTTCTGGAAAGTGACAGTCCCCCGGATCAACAAAATCGCGACCCTCGTAGAAAGATTCTGGCTGCAACAAGGATTCCGAGCACGAAAGGGATATCAAGGAGATAAGAACGATAGGCCCACAAAGATAACCGCCATATGATAATGTACGGCGTCTGTGAGAGCTGTTCAACCTCGCCATCGTATCTCATTCCTTCATCTGAATTGCCCTACTTTCCTCTGTCCATCAAGCCCACTAAGCATAATCCTGTAGCATGGACAAACTAACCATCGATTGTGAAATTCTGTGTTGGACAAACCGAAAGCGAAGCCTCAGGAAGAGAGGTCAGGCCCCTCTCTGATTGGCCCGTGCGGGAGAATTGGAACATCGAACTTTTTCTTTTCCCGGACAACCACAAAAAAAAGCCGCGGAGGAACCTGACCAACTCCAACGGTCATTTTCAAATAACAACGAGCAACAAAGAGGCGCGCATATTCTCGAGCCCTCGATTTTGCCTACTAAAATCCAAGTCGCATGGTCCTGTAAAATCGCGACCCAAAAAATGGATGCCTTCAAGCTCTTGACGCGAGCGACCAAATTGAAGACCGGTACCGCTAGTAGTACCTCCTCTTCAGCCCTGCCCTCTAAAGGGAAGGCGCAAACCCCCCAGCTGTTCCACGCCTCGGAGGCCGAGGAACTGCTGCGGAAGAATGGTGGCCTCAGTGCCAGCGCTAACAAAAAGCGCAAGAGAACCCATGCGCCGGCCGCGGCGTCGGATTCGGAGAACGATGATGACGACGACGACCTGCCAGGGTTAGATTTCTTCGGCGCAGGCAAAAGCTCGGCCTCGACGGCCAAGAAGGAGCGGGCTGCGGCGGCCAAGGAGCAGGAGGTGGAGGAGGAAGAGGAAGAGGGCGAGTCGATGGATGAAGTACAGCGGCGCACGATCTTGAACACGCACAAGATTAAGGTCACGGACATGCGGGACCTGGAGGAGGTGCAGCAAGCGGCGGCAGCGCCGGCGGCGGCGGAGGGGGATGAGTCCAAGAAGAAAAAGAAGAAGAAGAGAAAGCAAGAAAACGAGAGCTCCTCGTCGGCGCAACCGCTCACGAAGAAGGAGCTGAAGAAGGCACGCCAGTTGTTCCCGCAACCTTTGGTCTCATTCAAGGAGCTGCGCACCAGGTACAACATCTCCCGCCGGCTGGCGGAGAACATCGCCGAGCAAGGGTTTACGGTCCCCACGGAGGTTCAGTTGGGCAGCTTGCCTTTGTTGCTGGGGGACCAGTCGGTCGCCCAGAAGGCGGGTACGACGGGCACTGTCGAGCCTGATCTTCTGGTGGTGGCGCCGACGGGCAGTGGTAAGACGTTGTCTTTCATGATTCCCGTCATCAACAAGATTGTTCGACACCATCACCAGCAGCAGGAGGAGCGTGGTATCTTCGCTGTTGTTGTTGCTCCGACGAAGGAGCTTGCCAGTCAGATCGTCAATGAAGGACGGAAACTGGCGCTCGGAACTGGTGTCAAGATTACTCTGATGAAGAAGGGTATGCGCGTTGTCGAACGCGACGATGAGGGCGCCGACGCTAAGGATGTTCTGGATGAGCAAAGTGAGGAGGAATCTTCTGGATCCGAGGACGAGGAGCAAGAGACGGAGAAGAGCAGCAAGGGGAAAGCCCCCGTTACCAAGAGTGACATCCTCGTCACGACGCCATTGATGTTGGTTAATGCACTTTCGGCAAACAAGACCAAGCCCATGGCGACCTTGCCTTTGGTAAGGAACATTGTCCTGGATGAAGCCGATGTCCTGTTAGACCCTCTCTTCCGCGAGCAAACGCTCGATATCTGGCGAGCATGCACGCACCCTGATCTCCGGGCAAGCCTGTGGTCTGCTACCATGGGCTCAAACATCGAAGACCTGGCCAAATCTACCATCAAGGAGCGCAAAGATATGTTGAGCACGACCAAGTCGTATCCTCTCCTCCGTCTCGTTGTGGGACTGAAGGACTCCGCTATCCCGAACATCAAACACAAGCTGGTCTATGCCGCAACAGAGCAAGGAAAGCTGCTGGGTCTCAGACAACTCCTCCACCCTGCGGCAGCAGCGGCGTCGGATGTTCGTCTTCGACCCCCCTTCCTCATTTTCACCCAGACTATTCCTCGTGCCATTGCCCTCCATTCCGAACTGCGCTACGACATTCCTGCTGAAGCCGGAGGCTCTTCGCGCATCGCCGTTCTTCACTCCGATCTGTCCGACAACCAGCGGTCCGACATCATGAGACTGTTCCGCAAGGGCGAGATCTGGATTCTTGTGACGACCGATTTGCTAGCTCGTGGTGTTGACTTCCGAGGCATCAATGGTGTGGTCAACTACGATATCCCCAATTCCGCCGCCGTGTACGTCCACCGTGTCGGACGAACAGGCAGAGCGGGCCGTGAAGGCGGCATCGCAGTGACATATTACACCAAGGAAGATATTCCCTATGTCAAGAGTATCGCCAATGTCATCAACGTCAGTGAAAAACTACGCGGGACAACGGAGGAGAAGTCTGTACAAAAATGGTTGCTGGACGCGCTCCCCGACCTCAGTAAGAAGAGCAAGCAAGAGTTGAAGAAGCACGGTGTCAAGGCCCGACAATCCAAGAAGGACGGCAAAGAGGACAAGAAGACGAGAATCAGCACCAAGAGTGGTTACGAACGACGGATGGAGAACAAGAGAAAGGGCGCAATCGAAGCCAGCCGAACCAGAAAGTCCGACCCACGATCGGCCGTTGCAGATGCTGCCAGCGACAACGAGGCCTGGGATGGTCTCGACGACTAGTGCCCATCCCTGTACCAAAAGCAAATTTTCCAATCAAACTACTCGCTTACGATTCCCCCACCTCGCGAACCCCTTTCTTGATCTCTTAGAATTCATGTATTATTGCTTTTATTCTTATCTTCAGGCTGCTCGATCAAATTCCTCTTCAGCCGTAGCAACAAGTACTCATTGTCCAGTTTCCCTTGCTCCTCCAAGACCCCCTCCAGCTCATCCCCATCCCGGTCGAAGTACAGTCCCCACGAGCCGTCGTCTTCCTTGACCGCAACAAACTGCCGGCTCCCCTCCAGCGTCAAGGTCGTCTCATCGTCGACCCAATCCCACGGCCCGATCACATGCTCGCAACTCTGCGTCCGGTTCCCATACTTGAGCTCATGCGTGTCCTGATCCGCATAGATCCACCCCAACATCGGCGGATTGTCCGAGATCGACGTCGCGACGCCGAGCCCGCGCTTCAGATGTTTCATGTGATCGAACTCCGGGTACTCGATGTAGAATGCTTGGGCGGTATGCGCGGGGGTTTCTCGTTTCGTGGGATCGGGGTCATCAAGAAAAACCTTGATTGTTAAAGTAAGAGTCAATGTTAGCTAGCTCATATCGAAGCGCGACGACCTTTGGTACGGGGAAAGACAGGATTCCAAGCAAGCCTAACTATTCAAACCGGACGGGCGCTGACTGTCAACGACGACAACTTACCTTGAAGTCCCGCAAAACCACCCGTCTGCCATGTACCTCCGGATCCTCGATATTGTGGGGTGGCGCGGCGACATCGATGTAGAATTTGGCCATGCGACGCTCGTCGTTCTTGCGCTCGTTGGCTTTTCGCTGTTCGTTGGAGGCGAGAGACACCCCCGCTACGGTGGGGATGGCGGACAGGATGAGTAGACCGATGACCATACTGAAATGGAATGATCTGGATTCTTTTCGGTGATGACGATTGTGTTCGAGAAAGCGTAATATCAGGGAGGGACAAGGCAAAAAGATTCAATTCAGTGAAAGGAAACAAGTTAATAGCCGGAATTAAGGAAAAGCTGGGGGAGACACTATTTTTGTAGCTAAGGAGCGGGGGATCGAATCGAACCCGATAATAAGTTAACAGGCACAAGCTGTATTGATACCGTCGGTTTATCAGGCCTGGGTGGCGGTGCGGCACATCGTCATATGTCATCGGTGGCTGATGGGGAGTGGCGGTGAGTGGCTGGTTTATCCTCCACCGTACCTTCACTACGCCCGGAAACTTCTCCGGTGATCGTTCGGGACTTGGCCAGGTGCGTTGCACGAAATATACATACACAACCACTGTGGATGTACTATTCGACTTTGCTTTTGCAAAGGATGCCTGAGGAACAGTGAATCAGAATGGACTCTGGATATTGTTCTGTCATTATCCTAGCTCTACCTCTACCCCAAGACCCTACGCTCTTACTTGCCCCAAGGCTTAAGGATCGGTCATACGCTTGCAAAAGCAGCAACGATATGAATCGATCCTTTAAGCTTCCTACGCTTTATCAAGTTCAACTGGAGCACTTTATAACACTATTGCAATGCCTTTTCGTGATTTCACCAGATATTGGCTGTTTGTTACGGACCTAGTACGTCTGACCGAGGGCTCTCTCTTGCAATATGCAAGTAGGCGACGACAGGCTGTTAATGACCATTTTACGCCGACATCTACTTCTCAAGCTTACAAAGCTCATGTTTGGGAATACAACAGAGTCTTGCTTTAATGAGATGCGCTTCGAAGGTGTGCTGGATAGCCGGGACCACCCCGCCAAAAGGTGACTTCACCTCCAACACAAGAGACCCACAAGGCTGGTAATAGTGTGGTACAGGAGCGATGGGGGTGCTTGAGGGCCATCTAATCATCAAGCCAAATAGAAAAAAGCCCTCTGTGCCGATGAAGAAAGTCTCATACCCTTGCAGCACATGCAGCTGCCCCCTAATGCAGGCTATGCTCTGGTTACAAGGCCATGACTTTATTTCCTCACGAGACAGCGCAGGACTATTCATACTTCCCAATTGAAATGCTCTGCCTAGGCCAAACTGACACTCGGATGCGGAAAGAGTGCTTTACTCATGACCAGACAATCTGGGCAGAAACTCGCGCTCAATCGATACCGTCCCAGGCAATCTCCACTGGCCCAGGATGGCGACGAATTTGTTGCGTGGCTCGCGGTGACAAGCCCTGATATTCGAGCGGGCAATCTGTACACCGAGATTGAAGAATATCCAGGCTCCCGCCATCGGACGCGAGCTTTACTCTGCGTATAAGTGTTTAACCGCTCATCATACAGGTTGAGCAGTAAAGATAGAGGTGATCAACCTTCTAATTCTTGGCAATCAAGCCTGAGCCAGTTAGCTGTTTTACAGCGAGAATCGGCCGCGTGGTTTCGACTCTTGTTACTCCATCGTCTGGTTGACTTCCGTGCAGAGACGCGGAACGTGGGTCTGCCATGTGGGTCAACCCTATTTCAATCCAGCTTAGAGTTGAGACGAAGATCGATGCTTGTGGATTCTAGTCAAATTTGGTGGACATGCTTTCATTTCCTATGTGTCCGCTATTCCACCAGCCGTACGGATGTTTCTTGGACCTGAACGGGTTTCCCGTCTTCTTGATGACGAATGCAGTCTACTGCAGACCTGACTCTCATGTCCTCTCGCACCTACTTCCGCTTACACATCTTGTTCCATACATTTAAGGTCTCCCTTGAAACCTGGGCAGGTCTATAAAAGGGGCATTAGTCCTCATTCCCTATTACCGGTACAAAGCATTTATCCCAACAGCTCTTGAGTATCATCGCCATGCGCTCGTTTAGCACTGCACTCTTTCTGGCAGGCACAGCTGCGTCTGTTGCTGCTGTTCCTACTGCCACCTCATCGTCCCAAAGCGCCACTGTTACTCTCGACTACTGCACCCTCGCTCCTGCTGCTGGAAACAGCTCAATCGGTTACTACAAGTACCAGAATGTTCGTTTCGCCGCGGTTCCTACTGGCGATCTTCGTTTCGCGAAGCCGCAATGGCCTCCTGTTGAGACGGCCATCAACAATGGCAGTCTTGCCGAGTCTGACGTAGACTGTGCATCCACGGAAGACTGTCTCTACATGGACGTCTGGGCTCCGGCTGATGCTCAAGGCCGTAACCTGCCTGTGATGCTCTGGACCTACGGCGGTATGATATTCCGCTTGGCGCCACCTCACCGTTGCTTTAGCTAATCGGCAATATAGGTGGTTTCACTGCAGGATCTAAATCTCAGAATACGCCCGAGGGCCTTTTCGATCTCTCCAAAGACTTCATCTTTGTCGCGCCTAACTACCGTCTTGGATTCACCGGCCTGGCGAACGGCCCCTCCTTGGCTCACCAGGGTGGCACTCCCAATACTGCCCTGTGGGACGTTGAGCACGCCTTCAAGTGGGTGCACAAGTACATTAGCGTCTTCGGTGGAAATCCCAATGAGATCACCGCTGTCGGTTTCTCAGCTGGTGGCTCCATGCCCCTGTTCCAGATGACCCGCTTTGCCGGCCATGCCGAGCAGCTCTTTAGCCGTGCCTACATCATGTCACCGGGTTTCGTCCCCGGTGCTGGTCACGAGCACGGAGAAGCGTTCTACCAGAACGTCTCCAAGGCTGTCGGTTGCACTGGCGGCGACCTGGACTGTCTGCGCAGCGTTGCCTTCACCAACCTGACCGATGCTGCCAACGACGTCTACGAGGCCTACGATTACCAGTTCCAGCCCCGGGTGGACGGCGACTTTGTGGCGGACACGTACGAGGCGCAGCTGTACCAAAAGCACTTCAATTTTAGCGGTCCCGTGGTCATCTCCCACGAGCAGCATGAAGCCAACACGGGGACAGACGAGGGCGAGACGACCATCTCCTCCGAGCAGGACATCATCACGAACCTCCGCATTTTCTTCCCTTCAATCACGAACAACGTCATCCAGGAGGCTCTCAAGCTGTACCCTGCCTCCAGCTACTCGAGCCAGGCGCTCCGGTTCGCAGACATGAGACAGTCCTTCGATCTGACCGCCCACAATTTCGCCCTGACGGAAGCCATGAACAACAACACCTGGAACGCGATGGTCGCCCTGAGCAAGGCTACCCACGGCACTGACCAAAGCTACTACTGTATGTTTCCGCCTACCGCACCCTAAAAACCCCAGAGGCTGACAGATATTGTAACAGGGTACTCTACCTACTCGCTTTCTTCCTCCTCCAGCAGCAGCAGCAGCAGCAGCAGCAGCTCCTCTGGCGCAGGTGTCGCCATCTCCAGCGACTCCGACGTCGACTCCACCGTTGCTGTACGTACCACTCCCCTCATCTCGCTACACTTGTCAGGCCTACCCCCGATACTAATACTTTGAGTCCCCACAGCGCAAGATGCAGAAATACCTTCTCTCCTTCGTCCTCACCGGCAACCCCAACACGAAGTGGGCCAACGACAAGCTCTACTGGCCCAAGTACCTGAACGGCTCCTACACCGCCACCCAGCTCGTCTTCAACAGCACCATGTACCTGACCCAGGACGATCTGGCCAACGCCCGCAGCGTGTTCTGGAACAAGGCGCTGTGGTACTAGACTGGGATTCCTTGTGCCGGAGATATAACTTTGATAAGACCGGTCATGCTGGATGGCAGTCTAAAGCTGTTCGATTCTGAATCTTCTGTGTAATCTAGTGTCTATCAAGTCTACTTTTTAGGTAGAGAGCATCTTCAAGCCATAACCGCGTTCTCAGTGACGTATTTATGAATGTCCCAGAATTACGTGACTTCTACGTACAGTATGGGGAGACGACCCGGCTACAAGTCAAGTCACTTGGCGTTCGCCAGGATAAGTAGAAGCAGATAAGCATACCACTTACCTACTACGGAGTAGAATGCACACTTAGGAGGTTTTCATGTGAAAGACAATACTTCAAGCTCTTATACCCTTTGAGCCAAGGTGGATTTCCATAACCATTGAGAAATACAACTACTGGATTTGGATTCCCTGACGGCATTGGCCTAGACTTCAAAGCGATTATTGAAAAGCAGTGGATCATGCAGTGGACAGAGAGCTAACAGCTAGACTACCGCACCATTTTAATTGTCCAGCTACTCGCTATGTTTGATCATCACTCTCAGCTGCAAAGCACTTGGCAGCCGCCACTGTATTCACTCCTCGTCCATCAGGTCCGCGTAGGCGCCATCGCACTTCATCGTAACATCATACTCGCCGCGCTTCTGCATGCATTAAGTCACTTTGTCCTGCGGAGTTTGTCGTTTGACCACCAGTATAATCTATTTGCCTACAGTGCCTTGCACAACCGCCCGACCCACCCAGAACATTGCAAGTTTTTTTGCCAAACCATTGAAACCGAGGCCAGGCCTTATACGGTTAACACCGTAAACAAATCACTTAACAAGTTATGTCATGTTTCGGAACTTCCTTACCGTTTCAGCCTAACTTTACCCTGTGTGTGTTCCGATACACAGATCTCTCTCAGTGCGAAATATGTGAAGGGCATGCGCGAAGAATAACAGCTACGACATCAGATTGTGACAGGTGCTAGATCATGAGTCGTGGTTGGACTAGGACAAAAATAAGATCATCCCGCACATCTTTGTCTGCGGAAGAAATTCATGAAGAGCCGGCGTTTTCGGCCAAAAGGGTTTGAACCTGAGGCGATATAATCATCGCTAGAAGCGTGTCCTGAAGCTGGGTTTCAAGGCGAATGATCTGAGAGCGCAGGTGGCTGCTGACTCTCTGACGATTGGCTTAGTGCTGTCTTCCAAGCACGAAGTGGATAAGTCGAGGATATCGCGTGGGGATACTGTGAGCCTTACACTTGGTTCTGGAGGTCTGCAAATCTCTTAAGAAGGCTTTAAGCGTCTGAGAGCTTTCTAAGTTGCTTTAGAATAAAGGGAAGGTTGTGTATGCTGGTGTCAGAGTATCAGAATACTCAGGATTAAGGATCTCCTCGGAACCTTGGAGTGCCGGTTGGTGCATGGGCTCGATCTTCTTATACTTTCCCTGTCGTGCAAGTACTGAACCAAGCTGGCTGATACTGATAAGAGTATCGGGATGCTCAGGATCATGAGTCGTCTCTAGTTTTGCTAGATTTCGTCGGTGCATGGCCTTAATGATGAGAAGCCTGGTGATGGAGGGTAAGCAGAGCTGAAGTCGTGGGGACGCTGAGACAGTTGCGTTGACAGCCTCACTATCTCTACTCACTAATCACAAGACTGCCATAGCCCTAAAAGACGGGGCAGGGCGGAGGCTGGCATCGCATCTTTCTGTTGGACCAGATAAGTAATAGATACACTAGACGGAGAATATTATGAATTGCTGTTCCTATGATCAGATCAGGTACAGCAGCTTATCTTATTTTTTATCAGCAAAAGAACTGACTATATGCCCTTTCAAGTTATGATGGAAGTCAAGCCTATTGAGCGGACTCCATCCATAGCGTACGATTCCAACGCCTTTAGCTTCGTAGAGAGATGATAATGTGAATGGGACTTAGGTCTTATATTGCCCTAATGGATCGGTCCTAGCTATCTTGGATACCGTAGTCCACTTCGTGTACTGAAGACAAAAGACCGGGAATAGGATTCGGAATGATAGAGAATAGGATGATTGATTCAACTAAGCTCACTTGTTGAAGCTATTCGTAACGATGAGAAGGATGATGAGAGAACAGGAGGGAGGATAGAGAAGGAAGAGGTCAAGGCCTCCTTCCACCGCTTGCAGTGTAAGGAAAGAGTGAACCACCCACCCGGCTCATTACCTTCTTTCCGCATACTGTGCCTTCTCACTTACCCATCAACCTCAAAAACCGTTCAGCCCTTTCGTCAGATTGTTTGTCCAAAGAAGCTCCAAAAGTCAATACGCTCCCTGTCATCCCAAAGCCACCCGTACCACCAAAGTCACCCGTGCCCCCATCATCGCCATCGTCATCGATGTCCTTTGGGATACCCACATATGCCGCAGATGACCGTCCATCCGCACCACCGCCCTATAGAGTGCCACTATTAGAATGGAATTTGGAAGGAAAGCCAAAGAGGGTTATCATTGAGGTGTCATTCATACCCTGCTTTCTGTGTCCTGCAACCTCTCCACAGCCGCACCATGCCCACCACACGAGTCCACATCTCCGACCGTACATATAATCCACTCCATAACCAACCTCTTCTTAACAACAACAACTCAAACAACTCACAACCGACAGAAAGAGGAAGAAAGGGGGCTGACGGGATCTTAAATACCCCACAGGTCTCACTCCTGGATGAGTCATTTTGCGGGGTTGGGCACCAATTTACGCCTTCGCCCGAATTCAGAGACCTCGCATGCATTCCTCCAATCCGCTTGTAGTCACACTCTCCCTCGGCGGCAGCTCGGACCCTGTCAATCTTATCAGTTTGTTTGTCCGCGTGATCCTTTGATCGCGGGGCTGTGAACACAAGTCTGCCTCGACTCTTTCATAACTTCAGCTCTCTGTTATGAACCAAGCCAGCCGGCACCAAGTAGTTAAGCTTCGGTGGGGAATCCATCTGATAGAAATAGTATAGTTAAATCCACAAGAGAGATCTACTGAGCCTGACGCATACAGGCCAAATCTCAGAGATGTAAAGGACACCATTATACTCTTCAGTTGGCTCCTTTGGAGGATCAATTGGTGATGCAGTCAAAAAATCTCCCACTTCGTCGGCCACAGAAAATAGGACAATTCTGGTATGGACTCGAGAACAACTTAGCGCCTGATGATAATCCTTGACTGGCATCGAATGCGCTAATACTCTGCGCGGATACCGCTCATAAATTGGTCGTACACGTCTCTCATCCCGACCAGGATCATTTGACCCCTCACTACACCACACGAGAAGAGAATCAACCTTCAGGAAAGACCCCCTTCACCAATCCTGCCACTGGATTCAACAGTGGTATCGATAATATGGCACTGGTCATTCCCATCGAGATCTGCGACATGGTATGACCCCCGTGCGCGACATCAGGCTGTATGCTAACTTGATTCTGAGATCGTTGATCACGTAGCAGCAACGGTTGAACAGGACTACTCGTTTCGCGATTTTTTCCCCTATGCGCTAACGCCAGATGTTCGCTCAAGGCTTATAAGCTTACGCTTGGTCAGCCGGAATTTCTGTGCTGCCGCGTCGCGTTGTTTGTTCGAACATATTGTAGCCCCGATTGACTCCTCGGTGCGCGGCCGAAATTCTCTACAAGGACTTGCTGAAATTTCAAGAAGTGAATATGCTGCACAGGTCCGCCATCTAGAGACGGGATACAACCGATGGGGCCTTTATCCCTACGCATCACTCAGTCAAGATATCCAGGATCTTGCCGGGCTATTGTCGCCTTGTCTTGCCCGACTTTCTAGTTTGCGCGTTCTAAGATTCAGGGCCTCATGCAAGTCATTGACACGCGACCACGAACGGGCTGCTGTTAAAGCCATTGTCAATGCCCTGCAATATGTGAGTCTACCCTACTTGGAAGGGCTGGAGCTCTTCTTTCCCATAGCTCATGACTTTGGATACTTTTTCCCCAACCATTCTACTCCATTGCACATTCCCATGGAGGATCTACTGCACAACCTGCGATATCTAGCGCTGCATGTCACGGCATACACCAAAGAGCTGGGACAGCGATATCGGAAAACCCCCGTACTCCCTGCGCATGCCGCCTTGCCGAATGACTTTTACGCCGCCCATCTCCTCAGATTAGTAGAGCTAGCTCCTAATCTAGAAGCCCTCTGGCTCAGCAGTACCGACGTTCTTCCCTTCGACACTGTCCAATTCAGCCCAGCGCTTCATCTCACCTCTCTATGCCTCGGTGAAGTCCTGATCACGTCCGACCACTTTCGCGCGCTTATAGATCAATGCAAAGATAACCTCAAGCATATGGAACTGTCGTTGGTACAACTGCACTCTGGCACCTGGCACACGGTCCTCACGCAGTTCCGCCAATTACCGCACCTCATAGACTTTTCAATCAACTCATGCGGATACCCAAGCACCGGTCCAAATGCACATCTGGTTGGACTGCTTCCCGAGCCAGATGACCCCGAGCCGCTTGAGACGATGAGTTCCGCGGACTATGATGCACTTGGGGAGCTTAGGGAATTTGTGAATGCGAACCGAATTGCTTTGGGCCTTGATCCATTTAATCGTACTGATCCTCGCTGGTAAATGTAGGGGGCCCTTGCGCACTGGGAAGCTTGTGGGGAGACGGGGGAGTGGGGTTCCTGCCACGATGTATGTAGTTGGAACAGAGGGGATGCTTGAGTGGGGCACGAGCTGGTTCGTGTTCCACCAGCATTTGCTATTTATAGTATGTAGAACTAGACATCTGATCATAGTATACAGATACCAGAACCTATCGCGTAGGGACCGAATACAGCGGGATTATTTCCCATGATTGAAAAAGGCTAAATTCTTGAAGATTCGTCTACATAGCGGAAAAGCTCATCGTATTCAAGTAATGGGGAATTTAAGGCGGGGAGACGTTAACAAGCAGCCAGCAGTATGGTACGTGCTTCTGTAAATCAACCGAGACCTTTAGAAATGCATATTTTCAATGTTTCATGTACTGTAAGTGACTTTTGAAGGATGTGCCGGTAAATACATGGCATCTTGCTTTATGCTAAGAGCCTCTCGGTATAGTATTAATTATATTTATAAACTGGTGCTGTCTGGGAACGACATTCAAGTAGTTCCGGGTAGGTATGTATCGGATCCCCCCAAGAAACAGAGGATAAACCAATAAAGATCCGAAGTAGTGTCTTTACGTATAAGCTCATTACGCATCAAGTCAGTCATTCCAAGCACCCATTCATTCATACACTACATTGTTCACATCGTGCACAGCGCACGAGATCTGTATCACAGCGATGAAAGCGTTTTTGCTCGCACGGTACAAGATGATCTACGGCTAGTTCTACGGTTCTGGAGGCACCTCGGCCTCGTGCCCCGTCCTCGCCGCCATTGTCGCCCTATTGAACGACGCGCGCCTGGCCGCGGGCCGCCCCGCGCTGGGGTTCCTGAACCCTCCTCTCCTGTATGCCCTCCGGACCTCGGCGGCATGGCACGACATCAAGGTTGGCCAGACTAACAGCTGTAACGGGGTGAATCCCCAGACCAACCGCTGCGTCCCTGGCGCCAGTGTGATTCCTTGGGCCCACTGGAATGCGACAACCGGATGGGATCCGGTGACGGGGCTGGCGACGCCCACTTTCGCGCAACTGAAGGCACTGGTGCTTTCAATTTGACATTAACACCCACTCTCTTCTCCGAAGATTTGTTGAGAATGTCGATCATCATGGTAAGATGATTAGTCGGTGGCTTTTTGATAGAGATGAACTTCCTCTCTGACTATAACTATAAACAATTCAGTGGTCACATTTCCGAATCTGAGAGGAACAAAGGTCGTGAGGATAGTATGCACTGTTAAGGACGGGGGAAGACTGCGCAGGTGGTGTTCTCTTCAAACATCAAACCGGGTCACTTGTTCTTAGAGGAATTAAGTACAAGATATGGTGGCACAATATTGCAAAGATAAAGCAACAACCCAGATTCTCTCTTTGTGACGCATGTGCCGGCGCAGCAGACATTCGGGCGTCACTGCGTGGCTTGTAAAAGGTTTACCGCATGGTCACCTAGCCGAGTAACTAGACGTACTAGGTAGCGTAATTTACTCTACTGTGTCACCTGCCTAGCAAGCGCACCCACCGTCGGATGGGCAAACAAATCCGCCACAGTGAAATCGACGCTGCGCGCCCGCGCCCGCGCCACCAGACCCATCGCCAGGATGGAGTCGCCGCCCAGACCAAAGAAGTCATGGTCGATCCCGAACCCCGCGGGGTCAATCTTCAGAGTGTCCGCAAACAGCCGATGCAGCACCTCTTCGGCTGGGGTGGACGGAGCCCGCTTCTGCAGGGTGGGCGTATCGAGGTATGCCTCTCGGGGCAGTGCGGCGACCATGCTGCGGAGCTGGCCGCGGTCCAACTTGCGGGACTTGCTTAGAGGAAATGAATCTACGCATAGGAATGCTCTCGGAATCATGTAAGTCGGCAAGGAGGCGTGCAGGGTGGTTAGTGCTGTGGCGATTTGCGCCTGGAGAAGGGAGGGGCCTGGTTTCTGGGGGGTCTGCTCCCGCGGACGGATGAAAGCCGTCAGGATTGGCTGCTCTCGGCCGTGGGATCGATCATCGTTCGGGACCACGACCTCGGCCACGACCTCTGCGGCGTCAGAAAAACTGCGGCGCAGGTGGTATTCGACCTCGCCCAGCTCGATACGTTGTCCGCGCAGCTTGATCTGCGTGTCTTTGCGGCCGATGAACCTCAGCGTTCCGTCTTGTGCGTACTGGACCAGATCGCCGGTGCGATAGAGACGCGAACTGGCGGTTTCTGTGTGTCGGAATCGCCGCAGCCACGGTGGGTGTGCCTCTGGAGCGATGAAGGAGGCGGCTGTCTTGATCGGGTTGTTGAGATATCCGTAGCTTACAATTGGGCTTTCCACTACGAGCTCTCCCACTGTTCCGATGGGTACCAATTTGTCGACGTTCTTTGTATCCACGACCCAGCACACCGCGCTGGTCGGAGGCCCGACGTTGTTCGGATCACTTGGATTGTTGACATTTTGATTCAGAGTGGTAAGGATGGCACACTCCGCGGGGCCATATAAGTTTAGCAGGTGAACTGCTGGTGACCACGTCGAGATATCCTCCAGTGCGATAGGCTCTCCTGCTAGTACCAGGGTCTTCAGCGACGGGACGTTTCGAGGCTCGATAATGCGCGCCACAGACGGCGTTAGGCATGCCCAATTGGCCTCGAGGCTACTGATGATCTGCACAAGGTCTCCTTCTCGATCCTTGGCAGAAGGAATACAGACACAACCACCAGCCACGAAGGTCAGCAGATGATCTGCGATGCTGATATCAAAAGCGTAGGCGGCGAATTGAAATACGCGGGAGGTAGGGCGCAACGATAATGCGACGCTGTTGGCTTTGGCGCTTGTGCACCACGACTGATGCGACATAACGGCGCCTTTGGGCTTTCCCGTCGAACCAGAGGTAAAGACTGCGTAGAGGGCATCTCTGGGGTTGACTCGTGATTTGAGAATTGTGGGTTCAGTATGGCTCTGTGGCCACAATCGATGAGAATTTCCCAATATGATGGAAGACTTGGCAATCTGACCTGCACGAGGTGCATTCTTCTCAGACGTAATAACAAAAGGTGCTTCTGCATCATCGCATATCCCATGCAGTCGTTGTACTGGATGAGAGTCATCTAAAGGAATAAATGCGCCTCCGGCCTTCATCACTGCAAGCATTGCGATGCTGGTCCAACATGACTTTTCGAAAAAGAGAGGAATAAACACATTAGGACGCACGCCTTGTCCCTGGAGGTAGACAGCCATCTCAGATGAGATCTGTTCCATTTCCCCGTAAGTGAAACTGCCATCCCAAGCGCACACAGCTGGAGCGTTGGGCTGCGCGAGACTTCGCTTTCGGATCCACTCGTGAGCACAGATCTCCACTGTCTCAGGGAGCGCCGTGTTCCATTGTTTCAGTTGCGACCAATCTTCAGGACAGATAGTGTCCAGCTCACATAGGCAAACTTCTTCAGACCCAGTAGTGAGAACTTGCATGATATGTCTAAGCTGCTTCAACATTCGGTCCATTTGCACATGAGGAATAACGTGCGGATCAAAAGTCGCCTCGACCTCTATTGAGTCAGGTCTCTGCTGACAGATCAAGGTAATTGCGTAGGAACTGAATGCACCAGTTTCTGAGCGGTCCTGCTTTTTAGAGAACATCCAATCACTGCCAGTCTCTTCGGGTTGGATGACAACATGGCTCTGAAAATCACATGCTTTGCTAGATCCCTGATCGAGGCGTCGGAGGTTCTGAAGCCCTATGTGCTCGTATGGCATCGCAGCAATGCAAAACTCCCGCAACTGCTGAAGACTGCTCTTCACGGTCATTTCTGGATCGAGATTAAGTCGCAAAGGGATGGTTGCGATCGCCGGGCCAGTCATATCCTCGACGCCCAGCACGGGAGCACCACGTCCGCTGACAGTGAGGCCGAAGACGACGTCGGTGGTCTCCGTATGAAGCGAATGGATGATTCCCCATGCTAGCTTGAGTTTATCAGCAAGCGTGTACTCACTTGCAACCCGATGGTCTACGGGAATACAGATTGGATGCATTTCCGTAGACTCTGGAATATAGGCTGGGGAGGGTAGCGAAGGGAAGCTGGCACTCTGCACATCAGTGAGGCGGCCTTTCCAGTACGCCTCTCGCTCGGTAGTCGTGCGCCCAATGTACTCGATCAAAGGACTGAATTGCCTCTCTTCCAGTGTATGTCCATTATAGGCGACTTCAAGGTCCCGAAGAAGCATGGGAAGACCCCAGCCATCGGACAACGCGTGATGCACAGTCAGTGTGAAAACTGGCAGCTGTAAAGCAGATTCTGTATTGTGAAGATGTGCACGAATCCAGGGCTGTCCGAGCTCGCAGGCAAGCGAACCGTTTGTTGACCTGAATCCTTCTCCGTCCAGCGAGCCCACGTCTAACGCGACTGGCCTCCGAATTACTGCCTGGTAGGTCGTGCCATTGCTGGTTTGTATAAATCGGGTTCTTAAAATTGGGTGGGCGTCGACCAACGCATCCCATGCCGACTGGAATCGGTTAGTATTCACCTTTGCTGGCATTTCGTACCGAAATACGCCAATATAGGAGCCCGGTCTTTTCGCGGCGAGAGATATGAGTCCTTCCTGCAACGGTGTACAAGGGTACGCGTCCTCAATTTCTGATTCGTGGCTGAGCCCGCACTGCTTAATGGCCACTGTGACAATCTGCTTGCAGTCTTCACTGGCAGGAACCAGAGAGAACGGCTGAATTGCGCTGCCTCTCGAGACAGTGCAGACTCGGGTCACCATGTCTGCGAGGGCAGGGTAGCCATATAAACTGGCTATGTCCAATTCCAGGCCTTCTTTCCTTGCTAGACCGGCCAGCTTCATGGCCGCGACAGAAGTGCCACCAAGAGCAAAGAAGCTGTCTTGAAGGCCAATCTCATCCACTGGAATTTCGAGTACTTTCGACCACAGCATCTGGAGCTTGCGTTCAACTGGTCTGGAAGGCCTGCTATTCTCTACGGCATAGTTGCCGCTATAGTTGCGGAGATCATGTTTGGTCAAGGTCGCAGCCAGGTTGCGAAGCAATTTCCGGTCACCTTTTCCGTTGTTTGTGAGAGGCATTGACATCAAAGGTAAAAATGCGCTAGGAATCATGTACTCAGGAACCCGGTCGGATAATCTTGATTTAAGCATCTCGACGTTGGTGCTCAAGTCATCCGTCGGCTCCTCAAGCCATTCTGCTTTGTCGACGTGCGCTGCTGTACTATTTGACCCTAGAACAAGAAATGCAACGAGGATTGAGACCGAAGGCTCATCTGCGAGGTGAATCATATCCACGACAACATCCAGGACGCTTGGAAGCATTGATCGAATATGATGCTCAACCTCTCCAGTGTCCAGACGCTGGCCGTGGAGCTTGGTCTGCGTATCCTTTCTGGCAACATAACGGATCGCGCTTTTTGCGGCGTCGAAAACCACCAGGTCCCCTGTCTTGTACATGCGATCACCTCGAGGTCTCAACATCTTGTGCCACGCTGGGGGACTGATAAAAACGTCGGCTGTTCGTACAGGGTCTTTGAGGTAGCCGCGGGCGACCATGGGTCCCTCTAGCAGCAGTTCTCCAACCTCCCCCGGCGGACTCAATCGGTCATGGTTGTCAGAGTCAACGACCCAGCAATTGACTCCAACCCCTTGTCCCAGATTTGACGGGTCAGGCCGGACTCCTGGTTGGAGGGTCGTAGCCATGCAGCCGATCGTGCATTCAGTAGGGCCATAACCGCTGATGCACTGCATACGCGGCATCCATTTCTCAATGTCCCCTTCTCGCAGAGCCTCACCTCCAATCACCAGTGTTTGCAGGGTGCCTAAATCCTCCGGCTCCAACACCCTTGTCAGCGAGGGAGTCAAGAAGGACCAGGTGCAGTTAAGCCGGCGACATGCCTCGGCCAGATTGTTCTTCCGCTCGGCCTCAGACGGTATGCACACACAACCGCCCATGACCAACGGCGCGAAGATATCCAGCAGCGAGGCGTCGAACGCATGGGACGCAAACTGGAAGACACGAGTTTTCTCATGGATGTTCAGCGCGGCACTATTAGCCAGCACGCTGGTCGATAGAGATCGATGCTCGATGACCACCCCCTTCGGTTTGCCGGAAGTCCCGGACGTGAAGACTGCGTAGGCGGTACTGGTGCAGGGAACCTCTGGCTCAGGGTGCAGCGTGGTTGAGCCTCCCCCAAGAACAGCGGCATCGTCATCATCGTCAATCACGACAATCGTGTCGGCAAACTCGACCTTCTCGGCTGTGGCCTTGGTGGCGATGATCACCTTCGCTGCGACTGCGCGATAGGTCTCCTCTAAGCGCTGGGTGGGATGGGATGGATCCAATGGCACAAAGGCAGCGCCTGCTTTCAAGACACCCAGCAGTGCCACGGGATACCAGCGTGACTTCTCCGAGCACACTGGGACAAACTCCTCGATTGCGACTCCGAGATTGAGGATATGGGACGCGAGGCAGGACGACAGGCGATCGAGAGTGGCGAACGTAAACTGTCCATTCCAAGCGGATACGGCCTCGCGTTCAGGGTGTGTAACTGCCTGTTTGTGAAACAGTGCATGTATGCAGACGTTGGCGGACTGATGTGTCGGGGGGTTGAAGGAGTCTACTTGCTGTAGCTGCTCCTGGTCGAGCTCGGTATTGCCCACTAACTCTAGCGACTCTCGTTTATTGTTGATTGTCTTCGCGGGTTTGTGAAGCTCTTGAGGGGTCGCATCTTCGAAAGTGCCGATTCTTGTCATATTTCTCTTCTATGTGGTCTACTCTAAGCTTAGAGAAGAAGCTGTTGTGTCTGTGTCTGAAGGGATTGGCGCAGGCGATGAAGACAAGAATATCTTGGAAGGATTTACCTCTGTTGGAACGGTTGCTGTTGAATATAAATATGAGCAGACTGTGTATCTCATCTCGAGAGTCCAGTGATTCCCTCAGACTGGTATCGAGAAGGAGTAAGGTTAGGTCCCTTGAAGTTGGAGAAGTTGGAGAAGGTGAAAGAGGGAAGGAAGATCTTGCGTGGCGATCAGCAGCTGCCTTGTTTCTCCTTCCTTGTATTCGACCACACCCACACACCACATGTTCAACTTCAGGCCGCAGGAATACGTACCTTGACTCTTCCAGACGCTGATTCAGTTGATCCGAATTAGCGGCAATCCATCAATCTGATGACTGTCAGACGATGTCAATGCGGAACCGGTCTGAACAGGGTAACTGTGCGCAATGCATCCCAGGGAAGACAATCCCCTTCAGACATGCAGCAACAACTAGTTCTATAGGTTGATGACTTAAAACAACGGCAAGGCACCTAATGGGGTATTTTTGTACTGCATTGCTCACGAATGGAGGATTTATTCTCCACATGCAGGATACTAGCATGTCCATCCCGGTCCCCAGCCCACGACTGCTTTTCCTCAGGCACTTCAGCAATATTTGGTGCAGGCCTCTACCAGGCATGATCAAGTCATGACGTACTATAGTAACTGTCTTACATTCTTAGGGATTTGCTGGAGTCGATAACCTAGTTTCATTACGGCCAAGCCTAATCAACCTGTCAAGGCATCTCTACCACTGGCATGGACTTACGTCAACTTTCGACTGTTATATGCCATCAGCAGGAAGCTCGGTGTCAAACCTGTCAGATCAGATGATGACTCTTGGGCAGCATGAGCGTGCAGCAGGCATAGGCATAAATCAACGTATGTTGTCAGCATACAGGACTGCGCGGCCATCATGTTCATTTTTGACGAAACACAACGCCAGTCATCAACTTTAAAAACAACAAGCTAGACATTTCAGTTGAAGCAAACCAACTCGATCTCTCTAGAGTCTGAAGGCCACTGATCAATTTGTTGAAATGTCTACGACCACTGCCTGCGAAGTTACTGGACCATCCTCGGCACTATCGCTCGATACGCGAGGTCCAAAGGAACCCGTTCTTCGCGACATCCGAAAGTCCTTGGAGCTTCTCGACCTGAAGTCATGCGTTTTATCGGGTCTATCGCAGCCGCGCAAGGCGATTCCGTCGCTTCTCCTCTGGGACGAGCAGGGGCTCAAGAACTTCAATGAGTGGACGAAATGCCCTCACTACTATCCCATGTCAAAGGAGATGGAGATTCTCGAGATGCACAAAGACAGTATGGCTGGTGCTCTACCTGATAGCTCTGCGTTGGTCGAGCTAGGATGTGGGTGCGTTTGCCCGGGCTCGAGATCCCATTTCAATGAATCATACCCATTGTCTAACCTTGTCTTAGAAACGTTCACAAGACCTCTATCATACTCTCCGCCCTTGCTAAACAAGGCAAGGAGGTCCAGTACTATGCCCTGGACGTCTCGGAGACAGCGCTGCGCACCGGCCTGCAGGCTCTGCAAGCAGGATTCGGGCACTTCCCGAGCATCAGCATCTCCGGTCTGCTCGGCACATATGACGACTGCGTAGACTGGATCGCCAACAACACCGCTAGTTTTACCACACGCTCAGTCACCTTTCTCTGGGTTGGCAATAGTGTAGCAAATCTTTCCAAGACTGAAGCAAGCGACCTAACGGGCCACTTCCGTCGGGCCTGCGCCGTTGCAGGAATGCACTGTCACTTTTTAGTTTCGGCGGACGCCTGCGCCGAAGAGAACAAGCTGCTCAAAGCATACAACCCTGACGGGGGGCTATCGTCCCTCTTTCTCCGCTATGGCCTACTTCATGTGAACAAGCTGCTCCGGGCGGACCTGTTCAACGACGTGGTCTGGAACTGCCTCCTCGAGTACGATCGGGAGGAGAACGAGATCCTGACTTTCTATTCCCCTGAATCCGATGTCACAATATCGAGCGGCGCAAAGTCAGTGACGGTACATCACGGGGAAAAGATATTTTTCTTCCGTAGTGGCAAATGGAATGGAGACCAAATGAGAAGTATTGCACAACAGGGCGGCTTCCAAGTTTCGCAGGTATGGGGAGACGCAAAACAGGAGTATGGTAAGCTGAGCCCAAAGGTAAATTTCCAGGGTGGATGATGTGCAGCTACTGACGGATTCCAGGATTCTATCTTTTGTCTTCGTAGCGGCGTCTGCAACATACCTTGCTTCTTTCATAGTTTCAGATATACGGCCATATTCATGATAGATCTCCAATTTGCACTCCAGATCGCAGTCGATAGATTTGAATACCAGTTTCAGCTAGCAAATTGTCCTCGGTAAACCTCTGCATGCTTATCATGGCGGAGATCAACACTGCAAACCCTCCTTGCAGTGTGAACTCGTAGAACGATGGCACCTCAGTCCTTCTTAGTAGGAACCTTGTGAACGGGGATCTGTGTATCCATAGTGAGCGAAGTCTCGCCCCAGCGGAAGGGCTGACTGACACCCGAGCTTTCCGTGAAGACCGGATGCCCCTTGCATGAACCATTTTCACAACCACCCGTGGCAGGGAAACATGTAACACAGCATGCAAGACAGGGTGCTCGGGCCAGGGAAGCTTTTGTAGCACAGCATGCATCGAACAATTTGCGACGTCATCGTGAACCTTATTCATGAAGAAGTTAGGCCCAGACAGAGAAATACCTCAGGTGAAGGAAACGTGCACTGGTCCGGCAAACAACCTTAAAGCATTCCTGAAAGTTACCTAGTCTGAGCAGGAGCTAGATAAGGGAAAACAGGGAATTGGGAACCAATTCTAGAGAAAGGCACTACAGGTTAGCTCGGCCGAATCGATGTTGTTCTTGCACCCCCTGCGTCCAAGTACCAGACCAGACAAACAGGTGTATGTACACGTCAGATGGGTAGCTGAGCCTGTCTCGATGTGCTTTAGTCTTGAGAAAGCAGAAACAAAGGATAGCAAGACGTCCGGCAAGTTCCCCTTGCACCCGGATCTGTGTGGCAAACAATCCGAAGTAGGTATGTGCGATACACGGATGATCAATGTCAGCAGACCTCCGTCCACACCTGTTCTATCAGAACTCAGCCAGTTGCCTTTTTAGCCCAGCTCAGAACTTGGCTAGAGCCTATGAACGTGGCTCTGCAGGAAATATGACACCTTTCCTTGGCCGTTGGAATGCCACTGCAGGTAGCACGCTGAGTACTAAGTACGTCGGTGAATTGACCCGACGAATAGTCCTAGGCCATGAAGAAGGAACCTATTCGATCTGAGCTGGGAATAGGTATGTCAACAATCACAGTGCAGAGTGCATCATGTATCTGCATCAATTCAGACCTAAGCACGTACAAGAAACGGACTCGTGAACTTTTGGTGAACGGTAAAACCAACGTGGAGAGGCTGTGGCACGTAGACCAAACCCCGAGATTTTCATGAATTGCTCGACCTAGTTCGCATATAATAGAAGGCAACCTGTTGTAGCTTTAGACCACACACCAGAAATCATAAGCTTGAGGTTGGCGTCATCACAGCATAGACCATGGTGACACATTATTGGGCGGCAGTAGCTTCCATAGCTACTGTGTGCGTGTTCCTCTGGCTCACGTATACCAAAAGACGGCCAAGCCATAGACTTCCCCCCGGCCCCCGGGGTCTTCCATTGATAGGGAACCTTCATCAATTTCCTTCCAGCTTGGCCAGATCAACTTTCGATGCATGGCACAAGCAGTACGGGCCGATCGTGGGCCTATCCCTGGGGCGAAGACCCGTCATTATTATAGGCAGCGCTTCTACTGCCCACGAGTTATTTGCGAAGAGAGGCCGCATCTATAGCTCTCGGCCTCAAATGGTGATGGCGTTAGAGAACCTATCCCAGGGAATGCACACGGTTTTCCTACCATATGGGCCACAGTGGAGGGCGCACAACCGTATCCATAAGACCATTCTAGCACCGAGCAAGGCCTTACATTTCCACGAGCTCCTTGAGGCTGAAACAAAGCTGACTCTCCGCGACCTCCTGCACGGAAAAGACTGGGATCAAAGCATTGTGCGCTTCACATCTAGCGTCGTGTACAGTCTTGCGTATGGTCAACGCCTTCAAGGAGATGAGCCGGAGATCCGGGAGATGTCTGATTTCGTTGAGGAGACCATGCGTGCAATCTCTGGACCCTGGCTGGTAGATGTCTTACCCCTCATCAATAAACTTCCCAGCTTGATCAACCCGTGGAAGAGGTTTGGGAGTCGCTTTCATCAGCAAGCCATGCGGATATTTGCAGAGAGCAGTAGACACGCTATAAGGGCCCCAGGGTGGAATTTCACAAAGCATGTTCAGGCGAAGGAACGAACCGGCAATTTCAGCGACGAGGAGCTACTTTATGTAGTCGGCGTGCTTTACCAAGCCGGCATCGACTCCACCTCCACAGCCTTCCGATATTGCATCCTAGCATGCATCTTGCACCGTGACAAAGTGATGAAGGCTCAGCAGGAGCTAGATGCCGTGGTTGGGAAAAGTCGTCTGCCGGATCTGGATGACATAGCTGAGCTGCCTTATACGAAAGCCTTCATCAACGAGGTTCTCCGCTGGCGGCCTATCACGGTCGGATCGTTAGCGCACTGCAGCTCCGAGCACGACACGTTCATGGGCTATGATATACCCCAAGACTCAGTTATAATACTCAATCATTGGTCAGCCGTGATGAACACCGATACCTACGGACCAGATGCCGCCTTCTTTCGTCCAGAGCGATGGATTGAAGACCCCAAGCTGCCGCTTCTTGCATTCGGCTGCGGGCGACGAGCCTGTTCGGGGCAGTATCTGGCTCAGAAGGAGCTTGAGGTCTTGATCCCTAGTATGTTATGGGCATTTGATATCGAGATCGGCTCGTCAGATGGGATGAAGCTGAGATTAAATCCTTGGGATCTCCTGGAAATTGGTGGACTTCTTCGACCGCCTCCATTTTCAGCAAGCTTCATCCCCCGTGACGAAGAGCGAAGGACACTCATTGAGCGTGAGTCTGAGATGGTAGATGCAGCGGGCCTTCAGGACATTTTAAATCGAATCCAAGCACGTGTGGATCGTGGCTAAGCAGGTTATGATGAAGTATCGGCGGGTAAGAGAAGAGGAGAAGAGGGAGGTGAGGAAGGAGGATGGGAAGGAGATAGGCGGGAGGACTAAGGAGCATGGGGGGTCGAAGTAGAACTAAGTAAGCTATAGTGACATTCAGTTCTGGAAAGAGAACCTCATCTTCCTCATCTCACGTCCATAACCTAATCAACCTGGTTAAATATCTTATGTACCTGGTATATCCAAATCACCCCTCCACAATATCCGTCCAACCCCTGACCTCCCCAAAATCCATAACGCGATACTCCCCCCCAAACCGATTAAGGGTATCCTCCCAATCGCGACCAACCGCCAACTCCGGCCGCCACCGCACCGTCCGCGCCAACCTTTCGTCCAAAACCCCCTCCAACCGATCCACAATAAACCCACCAATGGACGGAATATGCGCGAACCCGCGGCCAGACGCGCCCACCGCCAGCAACAAAGACGGATGGTCAGGGTGATAATCAATCAAGAAGTTGCGGTCGACGGTGTCAGCGCACCAGCAGATGCGAGCAAACGCAAACGGTCGGTCCGCTAGCTGCGGCAGCGTCGCGCGGAGCAGGCCGCGGATGCGGTCCTCGGACTCTAACGGGATCTGGTGGCGGGCGAAGGGGACGCTGCGCCGCTCGCTGTGAGGCTTGTCGGCGGGGTTGTCGTAGACCCAGTTGCAGTAGCCGGGGTGCTCGTCGCAGATCTTCAGGTCGTGGTGCTCGGCGTCGGGTTCCATGAAGAAGCCCTGGTCGGCGTTGAAGAGCACCGGGAGGTTGCGGTAGGCGGCGGCCTCGGCAGGGGACAAGCGGATGTGCGCGAGCGTCCAGGCGGTGGGGCGGAGCTGTTTCTGGACGTCGAGGAAGTGGTCGGCGTTGGCGCCGGCGGCGAGGATGACTTTCGCGGCGTGGTGGTGCGTGCCGTCGGCGGTCTCGACTCCGATCACGTCCCCAGCCCGGTGGGGATGGTCGGATGCAGAGGAGGAGGAGGAGAAGAGTAAGCGCACGACCTTTCCTTGCGGGTCGCCGCCGATGAAGCGCACGCCGAGGCGCTGAGCCTCGGTGATGGCCGCTAGCAGGGCGTTGCGCGCGTGTACCCAGCCCGCGCCTTTCTTCTTCCAGTACCCCTTCCACCCTGGGAGAGGGCCGGTGAGGATTCCTGTGGGAAATGCTTGCCGAAAGTCGTCGGGCGTGTTCAGTTCGACGACCTCGTCTCCCGGGCGGTCACGGCGATGGATGTGCTTGAGGCCGTCCGGGGAGAAGGCGGATGTGATGGAGCCGGTCTCGTGGAAGTGTGGCTTGAAGATCGGGTCGTGCTGGAAGCCGTGGCTCAGGGCGGCGAAGAAGGTCCGATTAGCGTAGTCCGGGTCGTCGTCGGCTGGAGGTTTCACTGGGTGAGAGCTCCTTAGGTTAGGGGTCACGCAGACATTCCTGAAGTAGAGAGCAAGAAAGCGTACTGAATGAGACAATCTTGTTCACATCGTTCCCCGCCGAGATAGCAGATGGCTGCGGATACGCATCCAGAACCGTGACATTGGTATATCCTCGGCGCGCCAAGTGCAGCGCAGTCGAAGCACCCCACGTTCCAGCCCCGACTATCAGAATATGCGAGTTATGCATGTTGCCGTTGCCGCTGTTGTGACTGTTGTTAATGCGATCGTTGTCGCCCATCGCAGGTAAGGGATCGATGTCAATGTGAACAGACACAGAGGGACCTGTTGTCTCTTGGATGAGATGTGGAGCACGCATTTCCCTAGACCCTAGTAGTTTATCAACTCAAACTGAATCCTGATGTGGCCCGTCGAGGATCTTATACCGAGTTCCCGTAGCTTGCTGGATATGATACACGAACCCCACCGAGGACTGCGAACCGTTGGGTGGCCGCGATAAGGGAACAAATCACATCATAATTGGATCCAATTTCGAGCCCCCTGAAATGGCACTGGACTAGACAATGATAAGGCAAGCTTGCTCCACTCTTGCAACAAGCTTCGCTTGGACCTGCCCTTGTCTGGTCGATCTGGGGTGGACGCCGTTGCTTCATTGTACAATAATTGTACAATAAGTACATTGACACCGGCAGATTTGTGACTTGCCGAGGCGGCCGTTTATGGCCAAGCTCATTCATTGAGTCTGTATAGATCCCACGAGCCATACACCTCTCAACATGCCCCAACCTTGAAGAGCACTCACAATATGAAGCTCAGCTACAGTCCCTGTCACCATACAATCTCTGCAAAGCATAATAGATTAGAGAACAGCCCAACACGCAAAATGAGAACGCGAGCACAACTCAAGTATCCAGATAGACCGACGAAAGATCAACACACACACACACATAGATATTCATATTTCCCTTGGCCAAATCACATCCCAGTCTGATACAACCTCATTACACATAGATCATATGAAAATGCAAAGCAAAGCAGATCAACGCGGATGCAGAGTAGAACAGAGCAAAGGATATAACAGATAATTCCAGAACATATTCCCACGCTCACGAAACCGGTCCCTTCCTCGACCAAGCCTCAATGCAGATCCTCGATGAGGAAGACAGTTTTCTGTTCCTTTTCACCTTTTTTTAATGAGTTTTTTCTTTGCTGATATGTGCGTGGTGCTTCGACGAGTTGGCCGCGCGCAACCCGGTAAACGATATACGAGATCAGGGCACAGCCAGTAAAGCCATTGACACAAACCCATGCTGCCACAGGTATGCCAGACATTACTGCCACGCCATCAAATCCATTAGCAAAGACGACACTCTTAAATTCCCATCAACAAATCAGCCAAAGCTTACCTCAGCCACCGCAGCCCTGCCCTCCAAATCATCCACATGATTACACAGCGCGACAAACAGATCGAAAAAGAAGGGATGCCCCTTCTCCATCTCCAACTGCATCGTGCCGCTCGCCTTGAAGACCGCCCGCGACCGGATAATCATTGCCAGGTACCGCGCGCGCAGTTGATCCTCCGACTCGGGCGTATGCTCGTACGCGAAACGCGCGGACCGCAGAATCACGTCCACCGCGATCCCGGTCCGGAGCCCCTGTTTGCGCAGGGCGAGGCGCTTGAGGGCCTCGGGGAGGCCGTAGTGCTCGGCGGCGCAGTAGATGGCCGTATCCCGGAGGATAAGGCCTGCCCGGTGATGATGGAAGGTGGCAGTAGGGGAGGTGTTGGGGCCAGTGGAACCATCATTATTATTGGAACGAGTGTGAGCTGGCTTGGTTGCTAGAACCTCCTCGGCGTTCTGCTGTATCTCGTTCTCGTTGTCAGCTTCTTCCTCGAGGCGCCATGCAGGTGCTTCGAGACCGTCCCCACGTAGAAGACGCGGGTAGTAGTCGCCTTTGTAGAGAAATTCGAGGATGCAGGAAAGAATTTCTGGGTCCCTGTTTCTTCTAATCAGTCTCTCAGACACATCGGAAGCGGAGCTCGTAGGGAAGCCAATAGAGGAGGCTATTACTCATCTGGCAGAGCCACGACTTTGTTCAAGTTGCTCTCGATGGACTGATCCCGGAGGATAGCGTCGAAGAAAGCAGCCCGGGAGAGTACATCTTCATGTGCGACGAAGAGGCGATGATCCGGGCCCACGATCAAGCTAACTACGGGGCTCACGAGGGGGCTAGAGGGTTACAGATTGAATTAGCTTTCACGGCCCGGACAAGCAAGGAGACACCGACATGCGAAAGCATACGCGAGTTACTCAATCAAAGCAAGAATAGAAGACGAACACAGCCCGCAAGATTGACAAGATCAGCGCAAACAAACACCTACCTTGTAAGAGGCGGCCCCTTCGGCGTCGACTGCTCTTCCTTCTTCTCTTCATTCTTCACCTTGCCACCCTTCATTGACTTCGCCTTAACACCTACCTTCTTGGTCATGGGCGATCGGACAGGCTTCTTGACCCGGCGGTTCTGAGCCAGCAAAGACGAGGAGCGTTTTCTGCCGGCTCTACCAGCCATTGTACTTCTGCCTCCCGGATCCATCCACTGGACCAGGAACGAGACGATAGACATTCAGGTGTGAAATGAAGAGATAAAAGAGAAAGAAGGAGAAGGAAATGACCAGAAGAGGGAACTGAAGGCGAATGAATGTGGATCAAAATGCAGGAAAGGACAGGAATGACGCTGCCGCCGTTGGGTCATGCACAGGGTCGCATGAACGGGGGAGGAGTCTCGGAAGCTGATCATGCAAGACTACAGGATTCCTTTTGGCAGACACCGGGCTTCATCAGAAGGAGACCCGGCGGGAGGCTTGCAAAGGAACTTGCAACCTTGTGGTATCTAGCTTGCGCGTACGGTCATCTACGGTAAAGTAGAGACACGGTAGCGGGACGGTCGACTCTGGGAAGCGTGGAGAAGAAAGAGAGAGAAGAGCAGTGAAGAGAAATAGGAAGCAAGAGATGAAGGTGTGATGGTGGTGGTGGAGGGGATCATGTGATGGTGAGCGGCTGATCGATCAATCATTCGTGCTTGGTTTTCGGCTACTGTATTGTAGTACCTAGTACCTAGTACTGTTCCTACTAGTCGTACCTAGTACTTCCAGGCTACATCCAGGCTCGGCAGCCCAGGCAGGAATAAAAGCCCCCATGACGTTATACATACAACCTAAGATATAGACCGATGATCATGAACAACAATCATAACAGCTTCTTGCCACACATCAAAAAGAAGCACGCCTTTTGAGCACATCGCTCCACGCCGTAAGATAAAAAGAACTGCAGGCATAGGTACAGATAAAGTAGACCCCATATGAACGACATGAAACAGGATGATCGCTACCGGACATACCATGGCAGAACAACAGTAACAACACTATTAGCAAATCATAGACAGCAATAGAATGTACCCGGGGAGGGAAGACGCTCCGAAGAAAACAGCAACGTCCTAGTGAATACGAGGACATCAAGATCAGACAGTCTTCTTCTTCCGGCCCCGCTTAGGCTTCTCCTCATCGTCAGCAGCAGCAGCAGCAGCAGCAGCGGCCTTAGTCGGCTTCTTTGCGACCTTCTTCTTAGCGGCAGCGGGCTCTTCGGCAGCTTCCTCGACAGCGGCCTTAGACTTCGCTGGACGACCGCGCTTGGAAGACTTCGGCATGACCTCTTCCTCCTCGTCTTCATCAGATACAGGCTTGGGCTGAGCGCTCTTCCTGGCTCGCTTAGGCTTGGGTGCTTCTTCTTGCTCCTGCTGCTCACCGTCGGCATCAGGCTCGACCTTGGACTCTTTCTTAGGCTGAGCACGACTGCGCTTCTTGCTCTTGGGGGTAGGCTCCGCCTCATCCTCCTCGTCAGCTTTGGCCTGCGCCTTCTTCTATCCATATCATGTCAGGTTCAAGCCCGAGGGAAAGCCATAGAGAGATCTTACCTTAGCCGCAGCCTCCTTTTTGGTGGCGTTCGAACGGAAGCCTTTCATACCGGGGCGGTTGACTTCAACATCCTAATCATCCAGACAGGTTAAAGCTGCACAGACTCCCACGAGCAAGCAAATAGCACCAACCCCAACCAATCCCCAAATCAACCAAAGATAAAAAAGCACGAAAAATACTTACCCCCTTCCAATCCTCATCATCAACATGCCCCTGCTCCAACGCCCGACGAACCTTCTCTTGGTTCTCCTCAGAAAGCTCATCAAAGCCATCGAGAGCCGAGCAATCCGTCTCATCCCCGCCACTCAGCTCCTTGATAGCGTCCTTCAGGTTCTCGATGACATTCGGCGTGACACAGCCCCTGATTGTGGAGTACATCAGATACTGAAAGGGTTCTCATGGGACAAGATACAACAATAAACATAAAAAATAAAGGGGGGTTTTCTCATAATGCTTAGAGCTTGCAGATGGCCAGATCCAAACCAACCGGCCAGAGAGAAAAACTTACCAATGACGCCATTTCCAGCTCTGGTAATCGCCTGCTTCGACCCAGCTACCATGACGGAGCTCCCCCTTGGCGATCTTGATTTTGGCGTCCTTGCATTCCTTGTTCTGGCAGCCGGCACGGCTGGTACTCGCCTCCTCTGAGGATAGGTTAGTCCAGAGCTCAAAACATCAGAGGTAGCAAGTTTGTAAGGTAGTATGATCGTGATAGTGCTGCAGGCAAATAAAGAAGAAAACTCCAGTGTAACGGAGCAGAAAGGGATTCAAAAAAAAATGTCTAAGGGTGGTGCAGTGGATAATGTGACAGTTGGCAGGACGGCAAGCAGCACGGGCAGAACAAATACTGAAGACTCATGGACCACGAACCCCTTCATCAGTCCAAGTTTCACTGTTCGATAACGATGTATGTCTTGAGACAATAGAATGTACCCAAGACGCTGTACTTCGAAGGCAGAAAAGGATCAATGGAATGGGACCTACCCAAACGATATGCGCCCATTTTTGCAGTACTGCGATGACGACGGTGCTACGTGCGGCAAGTTTCTTGGGTCTTGACACCAGCACCAGACTTCTTCACTGGGTATGAGACAGCAAGTTCAAACACACACCAAAAGTAGGTGGACGATGGAAAAGAAAGAGGAGAAAAACAAATTGGACAGCGAGAGAAAAAACAGAAGCGGAAACAATCGAAGGTGACTCGGGACTTGAGAAAGGGAAGGAAAACGAGCGAAAGGGAGGGCGAGCGAGCCAACAAGCCCAACGGAACCCGCCAAAGACCAATGCCGCAGGGCTCCTCGCCGCCCTTTTGCTCTCGACATTCATGGCTGGCAATTATCATTATTAAATATCGATTTACACGCGGGCTCTCAATCCTTTACTATTACTTGAATCAACTGAGTTACTGGTTGGTAGTCATCATCCCTACTACATGATCTACATGATCAATCCCTGCGGTCGCTGCGGTCGGTTCTTCGAGAATACTTGGGAAGTCACTGATTTTACTGCAGCAGACTGAAGAACACTCAAGATGTCTTACAGACATTGTCTACCTAGTATAGTCACTACTAGAGTAACAGTTCAATTCTTAGATATCATTGTTCATCAGATGCCGCTTATCGCTGCCTATCTTACCCACTGTTGCCTAAAAAACAATCACGAGCACGGGCTTGACTCGTACATACATCAGATCTAGCAAACAACAAGTATGTCGCTCGAGAATCTCTGAGAACATACTTCAACTGGGTCTCCACAACTATTAGGGGCTGTCAGAGATCATAGTTCAGGTTCATGTCCACAATGATCCCGAAGAGCTTCGAGCCATATTGCATGAAGTTTCTCCAAATCTGCGATGTGCTTCTGAAGCATGACCACTGCCCCAAGGCTGAGCCGCGACATGTATGGAGAAGCTTCTCCAGCGCTTGAGTCTTGGCCCGGGGAGGTGCGGTGGTGATGCTCGATCATTGCCAACGCATCTTCGATGGCTCGACGGATCAGATGAGGACGATTCATGTTCAGCGCGGTCGTGGGCGCGGGGAAGTATAGCCACGAGGTAACGTCTTCGAAGCCAGACACCTCGTGTGCCAGAGCATATATCATCAACTTCCGTGTCAGTAGAAATGCTCTCTCGGTGTACTGAATCGAGTCAATCCGCTTCTCCTCGTCTGTAGCAAGGGTTTCGAAGCCAGGCTCATCTGCAGGAATTAGTGCTTAGCAACGGGACTTTACAGGACTGAAGGGGCTGCCTTACTGTAAAACGGACGCTTGACCAAGACCAAGCCCATGATGGAAACCATAACCTGGAGAAGGGTAGACTTGGAAGAGGACCAAACCTCATCTGGGTTCTGTGCAGGCCATGTGCCTAGGAGACTGAGGCAAACCTGGCCATCAAGGTGTAAATTAGGATTGATTTCTGCCTCGATGATGGACCAGTAGTGAAAGAAAGCGACGGGGGGCTTGCTTGGGAATTCATCCGTGAGGTGGAAGTCGATCACAAAGGGCGCATGCTCGTACGGAGTGCCCACAGGCCCAACAATTAAAGTCCTGATGAGATCCACGCGCGACTCCCATGAACGGACATAGATGCCAGGAGGAAGAGATTTATTGAGGACCCTCCATTCCTTCTGTATGCGCTTGATACTCAAGCTGGAACTCCCCGCGGGCTCACTCGAGGTGAAATGATGATCAGCGGGTGGGGGTCCTTCGAGTACGAGGAACGCTGGCGGAGGCGATGATCCGGAGGGATCTGTGCCACTCATTTCCATGTCTCCTTCAGCATCTGCCATAGTGACATGATAATATGGGACCTCCTCAATGTCTTCCAGTGCATCTTTCGAAGTGTGTTGAAGCCCTCCCTCCTCCCCATGAGATACTCCGTGGCAGTTGGCATCATCATCGTCGTCATCATCAGTGACGTCTTCATTATCGGTATCATCTGTGTCGGGATCTTCTGAGTCGTCGTCCGGAGCCGAAGAATCATTAGGAGGTATCTCTTCACATTCACAAGGATATGACAACATAATCCTCTCCGTTGGCATTTCAATATCCACACATGAATCTCCGTGAGTCAAGCGCACCGTGACGGTCCCATCGGTGTTGGGTTTCATGATCATCCCGACAAAGTTCGCATGTAACCTTGCACAGAAGTCTTCGTAGTGAATACTGAGGCGCGTAGGTGCCGGAGAGTTGTCAACCGCGATCGTGCTCTTGAACCATGCAGTACGAACGATGTCTCTCTTCGATTTCTCAAGGTAGCTCCGGATAGCATCGAAGTGCTTGGAAGCTGCATGGCTCGAATGATCGGCGCCTTTGTCAGACGCAGGGCTCACCCGTAGAGCTTGCAACACAGATGCGTGTATAGTACTCGGTATAATATGCACAAGTCTCCCTGGTGACCTACGCAAGGCAGGAAAAGAGGCGAGCTCATAGAGCGATACTGGAGTACTCTTGCTGTTCAAGGATTCCAGTCGAGTGTGTTCGTGGTTGAGACAGAATCCGTGTAGCGGGAGCTCAACAGTTGCGTCGTCGTACCATCGAACATATGCTACTCGCTCTCGACTATCCACCTCTTGAACAATGCCCACGTGGTGTGTATGAAGCGATAAGCATGATAAACATCTATTATCACCTCCGGTCGAAGGAATTGCTTGAACTGAGTCTTTGAGAACAATCAAATCTCCAGGAAAGACCTCTTCTCCGGGATAAGGACTTGGCGTATGCAGAGATATTGCGTTCTCTATGGTGACCTTCCCGTTTTGCCACTGAACCGTCGTATCTGTCTGGGATGAAACAATGCGAAAGATATTCAGATCATATCCGTACGAATATTCAGCTGGGACATGACGATAGTGAGGGTATTTTGCAGCCGCTCCAACCATGTCACGGAAGCGCACTACACTCCCCAGTTTCATCAAGTAGGTAGGCCTCAGCTGAAGTTCCTCCTCGCTGGACTTGTTCGTCGGGGCCCGACCGAAGTCACACTTGACCGCATACTTCTTGAACAAAGATGCTCTGAGTATCTCCGTCCCCCCAGTGACTGTATCTTTGTCCATGCCAATCCCGAACGCATTTGGCATCATCCACTTGATATGGTACTGTGAAGCTGGTGTAGCCAACGTATGGACATGCTGACGACCACGAGCTGGGTTCTTGGCACGAGCACCATAGACTTCGCACATGTTAGCGGAATCGACCCAGGCAGATCGGCCGGGATAGACTTGACCAGGGTCCTTGTATACTAGCTCGGCTCCGGCAACCTCTGCCTTTTTCGTGGTCTCTTCACCGCGCGGCATCCACACCAGCCTTTTAGGGTCGAACCAAACTGGACATTCGACGTTCAATGGATTGTAGAGGGTGACGACCTCGCTTTTCTCTGTCAAAAACACAGGATCTCGATCAACCTGCCGGATGACCCCAAGCTTCTGTTGGTATATGATGTGGTCCCCAACGGTGAATGGCTCATAAGACTCAATGTCGGAGACGACAACATCATGTAGCAAGTTAGGTTGAAGCTGGTCCATCGGTGGCATTATGTTGGGGCTGAGACACTTCGGCTTATCTTTAAACATAAGCGAGCCATGTTCCCCTGTTAGTAAGTTGCTGGAGAGAGACACAACAGGCTCCAGGGTGTATTTAGTCCGGCAACTGAGTACCCTGCCACACATGGCATCGTGTGCTTGACATTTGACAATATCACCAATGTGGGATTCTCTGTCGAGAAGTCGAAGCTCATTTTCATGAACCAGCGAATAGCCCTGCGATCTATCCACGAAACGGACAAAGATATATCCTTGCGGGGCCTGTGTAGGAGCAAAAGAGACCTTAGTAAACCCGCAGAAGAAGTCCTTGAGCCTTGCTACCTACATCCTCTGTCTGCAAGAATTTCTCCAGAACTTCCGCAGGTGTCGATGGATAAGACAGGATGAGGTAGTCCTCCAGCGGGTAAACTAGGGGCTTTCATGCAGTATAGGTCAGTCACACCAGAGATCTGCGTTCTGGAGACGAGGAAGAGAAAAGTACATCATCATGAGTAGACTGTATCTAATCAGTATCTGAGAGAAGATCTACGCGAGAGACCTGGTAAACTTACCTCAACAGAGCACACGCGAGACGGATCTGAGACCAGACAACATATGTCCTCTGTTTCGAACTAGCAGAATATGAGCTTTCACGTAGAGGAAGAGTAGCAAGCGATGTCTTCCTCAGCTCCCTGAACTTACGTGGATATCCGTGTTTCTTTGTGCCTCAGTAGTCGCCGCCATCGTCAGGAACGAGGACACACGATCTGCATGGGCGTTTGAATATGCAGTGGGCAAGTAGTTGAGAGAGCCAGACTCAGATGATAGTAGGAGGATGAAAGTGAAGCAAGTAAGTCTTGTGGGATGCGAGTGTAGTAGTTTGCTGACGAGATGATGAAGAAAAGGAGTGGCGTCAGAGGTAGGGAATCACTCGTGAAGGCGAGGGAAAGTGAGAGAAACTCCTTGGAGCCTTGGATAGATGAGGCAGTTCTGCCGTCTGCCTGGGGAGTGAATGGAGAGCCCAGCATCAGAGACCGGTCAAAGAGGGCCGACGCGCTTCACCACCTTCTGGGTGTGATTACATGGGAAAGACAAGCCAGCCCCGCCGGGAAGAGAAGTATAGATAGAGAATGAGCAGGGAGGGGTTTGTTTTCCCAACAACACCTCCAAAGGACTAGGCAAGAACAGACCTATCAATTGTTTCCTACCGTCATTCTCTCTCAGCCTGAACAAAATCAAACATGCAACCTATGAACCACTGTGAAAATCCGTGTTGACGATAAAATCGTCAGCCAGTCATACATACAATAGTCTATACTTCAGGCAGTACCGCCAACCTCGGATAAACTTCCCTACAGCACGGCCTACATGAAATAGTCTTGGCACGACCACCGCCCACTCCCCAAAGCAAAGCTTCCAGAACAACCACCGCGCCGATCATCGAACAATCAACATCCCCATCACCAACATCAACATCTCCTCCTCACACCACCACCACCACCACCACCACCAGCAAAACACCTCCACAAACAAAAAAAACACAAAAAAAAATGTCCGAACCCATCCCCGAATCCATCCCCACAAGCGCCGACCCGCGCAGCAAACGGCCCCTCAAACGGCGCGCCGTCGGCCCATCAACCGCACAATCCGAACAAGCCTCGCAGATCGAAACGCTGATGCGGGACCCGACGCGCGAGATTCACCTGCCCGTCCAGAAACCGCCACGAACCGCGGGGTCGCTGCCGCCGCCGCCGGAGATCGTCGCCAACGTGCAGGGGTCGTCGGCGGGAGCCGGGTCCGGCGAGTTCCACGTCTACAAGGCCAGCCGGCGGCGCGAGTACGAGCGGCTGCGGCTGATGCAGAGCGAGGTGGTCCGGGAGCAGGAGGACGAGGCGTGGGCGCGGAAGCAGGCGGAAACAAAACGGCGGGATGAGGAGCGGACGGAGAAGAATCGGCGGCGCAGGGAGAAGAAGAAGCGCGGCGGCGAGAATGCGAAGAAGGATGGGGAGGCTACCGGGGCCAAGGCCAGCGGTGGCCAGGCGAATACTGGGAACGGGGAGGGGAAGGATCGGATGGTGGTTGATGAGACGGCCTCAAAGACGGTGGGGGGTGATGGCATCGCTGCTGGGACGGATGAGGGTGGGGAGGTGCAGGGGATCATTATCCACGATGATTGAGTTGGATTGCATTGCATCGGGAAGCAGGTGACGGCTGGAAGTGCTATGACCAGTATTGCACACAGCAAGTATGTGGAAAAAGAGATGCAGACAATGTACGATATGAAGATACCCATTAGTTTGAAGTCTAGGATGTTCTTACAGACTGTCCGTTCCAAAAGGTCATCGTGCAGAATTATGTACGCAATTTTTACTATCTTGATATCTCTCGCTCCATTTACTCGTCGCCGCCGCCGGCACCGACACCCACTTGCTGAGCCGACTTACCGCTGCAGATGTCGTCGACACGGAGGAGCAGGCATGCAGACTAGTTTCTCTGGTTAGCTTATGGGACAATCTGACATCAACAGCGCGGGCGCTCACCTCAACAGCAGTCTTGATGCTCTGGAGCTTGACAGCCTCAGGCTCCCAAACTCCGTACTCCTTCATATCAACCAAAGCTCCGGAGTCGCCGTCCAGACCCCAGGTGGTGTGGCCCTCGACGTGCTTGGCTCTCATACGAGTGAGAACGCGGATGGGACTGGCACCGGCGTTCTGTGCTAACGTGCGGGGAATGACCTCCATGGCGTCGGCGACAGCCTTGTAGGGCCATTGCTGGACGCCCTCGATCGACTTGGCCAGCTGGCTCAAGCGGACAGAGACGGCCATCTCGATGGCACCACCGCCGGGGGAAAGGCGGGGGTGGAAGATGACATTCCGGGCCACGGCCATGGCATCCTGGAGATTACGCTCGATCTCGTTCAGGATATCCTTCGAGGGACCGCGGAGGAGGATCGTGCAGGCCTTGGGGCTCTGGCACTTTCTCAGGAAGGTGAAGTACTCGTCGCCGATCTTCTCGATCTCGAACAGACCGCACTGGGTTCCAACGTCGGACTCCTGGAGGTCGTCAACACGGTTGACAATGGTGGCGCCCGTGGCTCTGGCAATACGGTTGTTGTCTGTCTTTCTGACACGGCGCAGAGCTGTGACATTGGCCTTCATCAGGAAGTGCTGAGCGAGATCTGAACACAGGAGTCAACTATATGCAGATCAAACCATGTGGACACAATCTTCCTACCTGAGACACCCTTCTCGGTGATGACAACATCGGGCTTCAGAGCCAAGATGGCATCGCACATGTGCTTAACCTGCTCCTCCTCAATCTGCAAGATGCGGTTCCAGTCATCCTCCTTGGAGATCTCGATGTTCGTCTGCGATTCACCCTTCTTGTACTCCAGCGGGCAGTCGAGCAAGATGATGCGGGGGTTCTCGATTCTTCTCCGCATCTTCGGGTGCGTGATATCCTTGTTGACCATGACACCGTCAATAACCTCACTGTCCTCAATCTGACCACCGGGGATCTTCTCGACACGAGCGTAGCGCTTGATGTCAACCTCACGCTTGCCACCACCAGCGTCAAAGGACACGGTCCGAACAGCCTTCAGGGCGAGGCCGCACATAAGCTCCGACCACCGAGAGACGAACTTGGTTCCGATGGAGGACTGAATGAGGGTGTACATGGCCTTGTCGTCGTCGATGTCAACGGGTATCGAGACCTCCTCGACGATGGCGAGGGCGTCAGCCAAAGCACGCTTGAAGGCGGAGATGATGACAACGGGGTGGATGTTGCGTTCGAGTTGAGGAAGGGCCTGTGCGAGCATTTCACCGGCTGGTAAATGTTAGCAGGCTTGCATCGGGGCAATCAGGAGAGCCCTTGAACGGCAATGCATGCATACCAAGAATGATAACAGTCGTCGTTCCATCTCCGACCTCCTCGTCCTGAGTGCGGCTCAGTTCGATCATGCTCTTCGCGGCGGGGTGCGACACCTCAATTTCTCTCAGGATAGCGTGTCCGTCGTTCGTCAGAACAATACCGCCCATCGGGTCCAGCAGCATTTTCAGCATAGCCTTGGGTCCGAGACATGACCGGATGATATCCGCAACGCTGCAGTTGACAATCCTGTATTAGAGACCGGAGCGGGGGAGGCGGGGAGAGGAAGGGTTTGACGTACGTCTTCGCAGCGGCAATGTTGGACAGCTGAGCCTTACGACCAACCTGTCTGTCACCAGCGTTGGTGTCTATAAGCAAGTCAGCATTTAAAGGCCAAGCACAGGCAAAACCTCCCCCCCTCAAAGCAACATACTCATCACCACCACCGGAGCCTGCATTTTGGCGGTGGTTCTTTGGCGTGTGTGGGAAAGGAGGGGATAGAATGAACGGAATTAAAGTAGTCCTGCAAAAAGAAGCAGAATCTGAGCAGCAAGCAGCCAAAAAAAGAGGCCGGTTTGTAGGATGGGGAACTGAAGGTGTTGTGCCCGCCGTCACCATCAAATTTCCAGCGCACCCCGAAGTGGGATGGCGGACAGGAAGCTCACCGCCAACTAGCCTGAATTGGGTTTAGTGCCACCTTCCCCTGATCTATCAGTTCTACCTGGACAACTCGCCCGCCTCAATCTTTACTTCGTAGTTCATGTCACTCTACTTCGTTATATGCACAAGATGATCTCTATATGATTTAACCGGACACATCGCAACAACTGCGATAGTCGATCTCCCAACAACAATCAAAAGTCCCAATAAACACCCATCAAGCTCAAAACGTGGTATACCGCAAAACGCCAGCATAATGAAAGTCCCCAACCCCAACCCGATTCTATCTCTTCAACAGCCTGCCCATTCTTCGTATACTCCTCTTCACTCTACATCGCATAAAGTTTATCACTGACCGGCTCTTCTTGCGTTGATGGTGGGATTGAACACCGCCCTTTCCATCACCGCGCCGTTCTCTACTACTGCTCCCCGTATCCGTCTCATACAGAGGCCGCCCCCTATCCTCCGGCCGCGGTCCATAACCATAATGCATACTGTAAAACCGCCTCGAGCTGACGGGTGAGACATCCACATCCCTTTCAAAAACCGCCATCTCCTGATGAGGCGGAGCCATATCAGGTCCCGGTTCACCATCATCATCATCATCATCATCTCCGAACCAAGTACTGTTTCCCCCCATGGCAGCAGCAGCAGCAGCAGCCTGGATATCATTCTGCCGGTTGACCGACCACTGCTGCTGCTGCGAGCGCCAACTCCGGTCTTGCTGATAGGTGGCAGGCCCCCACTGGGCCTGTCGCAGATGGTAGTGGGCGTCACTCATCTCCTGGTCCGCCGACAGCCGCGCCATCATGTTCTTGAACCAGGTCTCGGCATAGTGGCTGTGGTAGACGGGGCGGCCAAGCCGGAGCTCGTTGTGGGCGCTCTGCTGCTGCTGGAACCGGTGGACGCGCTCTAGCTGCAGCTCGCGCATGGTGTCCTGGAGGTGCACGGGCAGCTGCGCCAGGGCGGCTTCGTCCAGGTCGTAGAGAACCTCGTCTTCGTCGTCGGTGGAGTATCCGCGGGACCCTCCTCCCCGGGGCTTCGGCCGGGCCCCAATCCAGGAGTACTGGCTGCTGCTGCTGTTGCTGCTTCGACGTCCTCGGAAGTAGCCATGGCCTACAGGCCCTACGGGCGGAAGCATGCTGGATGAGGACATGATGATCTGCCGGCCACCGGGGTGCGGTGCCCTTGTACAGCCAGTGATGGAAAATATAGTGCTTCCTGCCAGAAAGAGTCTGTCCCTGAGCTGGAGGCCCGATGGAACCCGGTAAAGGGAAGGAAGCAAGAAGGCCAGCGTGTCACCGGACTTGGATTAGAACATTCATCGATGGCTATAATATCAAATGTCAGTATAAGTAGGATGTATAAGGGGCTTCCCTCATAGCTTCTTTGACTAACCTTCCACACTGTGAAGCATACATCAATGGACCAGTTTTCACGGTATGGATGATACAGATACGCGATAGGTGTCTTCTGTCAAGCATTTTTCTCCATGCCGTAGAGCATAGACAGTGGTGGTCAAGCTGGATGTCATAGATGTGGCTCATGGGCACGTTTATGGTGGATTGCGGATGATGCAGAAGACTCTCTCGCCCAACGTTGCCATCGGAAAAGTTGCGAAGAGGCCAGTTCATAAGCCGTCCCTCACCCCCTTCGTCTTGCAGGGTGACCCTCTGTATTCTTAAGTGGAATTATTTGACGAGTGGATGGAGAATTTCGTTAAGACTGGTCATATGCAAGAAAGACGGTGAGAAAAAAGCAAAATGAGTTGTGATGGATGCCAGTGCATCCAGTGCAGGACATGAGAGTGTAGAAAAGTATATTCAAAAAAAAAATCCACAAAAGCTAAAAAGGCATATTAGACACTAGGGAGGCTCTAACACAAAAACCTTGTTGTACATATTTTATCGGACACTATTCAAACCCTTCCCAGAAGGTTAAAGGTTATCTCTCTCAGAACTCGCGACTTTCGCCGATATCGCAGACATCGAAAGCCCCCGTTTCCGGAAGATCGTGTTCTCGCAATGCCTCTTTCAGCTTCTTGGGGGGTTCAAGCACCTCTTCTTCGGTCAAGACCCATGTGCCCCAGTGGATGGCCATGGCTCGCTTGCATTGGGTGTCTCGGAAGATCTTGACGGCATCGTGAGGGTCGGCGTGCATGGTGCTCATGAACCATCTGGGCGCATAGGCTCCAATGGGGATCAATCCTAGGTCGAAGGGGCCCCGGTATTGTCCGATCTGTTTGAAGGCAGGGCAGGTGGGGAAGTTGTGCTCGGGGGCATGGTCGTTGATGCCAGCTGGAAGTTCTGGAACGGCTGCATACCCGGTGTCCCTGTTCAAAGTTCAAAAGATCTGGGTTAGGAGAAGCAAAGCGAGTAATTATTTTATTCCGGATCATCGATCATGAACCTACCCAGCGAAGTATAATTTCTTGCCCCCGGACTCGATTGACCACGAAGCCCAGAGCGTCTTGGCCCGATCAAAGACTCCTCGGTTACTCGTGTGTTGCGATGGGAGGCAGCCGATTCGAGCCTTGATCTCAGCTGACGGAGAATTGATGTCTTCAACCGCTCCCTCAACTTTCGCCGGGGACTCCTGGGAGGGCGACAGGACGAAATCGCGCTCGTCCCACCAGTCCAGCTCTGTTACGTTCTTGATTCCGAGCTGCTCGAACCAGCTTTTGTTACCCAGGGGGGCGAAGAAGTGGCAATTCGGGTGTTTTCTCCAAATCTCCTTGATGGTAGGATGAGAGAGATGGTCATAGTGGTTGTGAGAGATGACGACTGCATCGATGATCGGGATATCCTCAATCTGGCAGGGAGTGTCGGTGTAGCGCTTGGGGCCCAGCCAGGACAGCGGAGAGCAACGGTCCTCGAGAACGGGGTCGAAGAGGACTCGCAGGCCGCTGGGAAATTCGACATAGTAGCAAGCGTGGCCGAGCCAGGTTGCGCGCAGACTGGAAGCGGTGCGACTGGCCAGAAACTCTGCTTTCTGGACAGGAACGGTGGGAGGTGCGGTGCTCGGGAATTTGACCTTGCCCGTGATCATCTGCCTTTACGCAGCAGTAACAGGAATCATGTGCGAGTCAGCTCATCGATGCATTGCCCACCTGCATATAGTATATGTTGTCGCTCTCTGCGGCTTGGGCACTTACCACCAGAACCGTGCAGCATCACTGATTGTGATATCCTTCCAAGAGCTGACAAGTGGGAATAAAGTTAATGAACCTCCAGCGCGGCGGGGTTGGAGGCATGTTCAGTTTGCCGGGCGGTGACTTACGCCCATGGGTTCTTGAAGCCATCGGTACGATGATGGGCCTTATCCTTGACATCACTCGGGCCCGGAGATCCCGGCGCGAGCAAAACCGCGGCCGAATACAGGATCCCTGATGCGGGGGTACTCATGTTGCGTTTTTCCAAAGATAACCCACGTGAGACCGATACACTGTGACGATGGAGGGAATGCCAATTTCTCCAGAGCGCACGCATATCCGAATTTCCGGTCCTTTGGGGAGGGAGGGAGGCAAACTTTATAAGGACCAAGGTTCAAGGCACGGAGAGGTGCGCGGCTCGAAACCGAGACCAAAAGGAAAGAAACTATTGATGACTATCAATTATGCTGACGCCTGCTAGTCACCTCTACAAGTCCACAAAGACTGGAAGTTACTTTTTTCCAGGAGCAAATCCCTGTCAACGCAGAGACCGGATAGGTTGATCAGCACAGTCACTTGATGGATGTACAGTCGGAGTTTAGTGCCAGAGGCTGGCATTTCCTTATCTCCGCCACTTAACCCCTGCTGCCGAAAATCCATGTGGGGCCACCGCTCTGAGGTCGGACTTCCAATTGGAAATCAACTCAAGGCGAATGGAAAGGTCAGGTTGAATTTAAGTCATGTCATATCATCGAAAGCTTCTTCTCCGTCTTCTCTCTCTCTTCTCTCTAGCTAGGGTATGGGGATAAATTAAACTAGCCCAAGTATGACAGACAAGCGCCAAGAAAAGCACAACGTTTTGATTGGGAAAACAAAACAGAAAAGAAAAAAAAGAATCCAAGTGCTCCTCTCGCCATCCCAAACGCCTTCAAGCGAAGAACCAATAAGATCAGAAGTAAGATGGGAAGAAAGCAATCGTGTTCACTCCCGCTAGTTGTATTTCCGTGCGTGTGAGTAATAGGTGTTAAAGTAAGCCAATGAATCCGGTGTAGCAAGTAATGGTAGAAGTCGTGATTCCCAAATAGTCTTGGGTACTCGTGCAATGCGGTGGTGACAATGCATATGTTGATTCAATCAATATTGACCGGCCATGAGGTATAGGTCGGTGGTGGACATATGGGCGGTTAATTTCGTGGGGGTTGACTAATCGAGTCAGGTCAAAACATGAGACACCCAAAGAAGAGCTAAGTTCTATTCTTCTTGGCCCGTTCATTACTATAGACCCCATCTCCCGTGTCCTTGGAGAGAGGGTACAGATGCATCCCCATATCCGTCGGGAAATCCGGATGCAACATGTTGAACCGGTTGGGGTTTTGAGGGACGCCATTCACCTCAGCAGGACTAGGCTCGACAAGGAGCTGCGCCAGGCCTTTGTCCACGAAGCCGACCGGCTTATTATGCAGCCGGTCCATGCGAGCCCAGTCGTCGTCAACTTCCTCGTTCATGAGCGGCGGTAGCGGGGGAGCGCCGTTGTTGCTTGGTCGCGCGTGGTAGTTGGCCAGAATGTTGTAGGGGAGATTGGGTCGCACAGCGGGCTTATCAGAGAGCTCAGCCAGGGCGTTCAGCGCGTGGTTACCGTGCCCCCGGGTCGAGCGCGTGGCGTGGAAGTTTTGGCTGGCCGTCCGAGCCATATCGGTGGCCGGGGTACCGTTGTCTTCCGCGCCTGTGCCGTCGACGCCGGAACCCTCATCCGCGTCAGTGTTGTTGCCGTTGGTGGCGGCACCCGAGGGCTGATCCGCACGTTTGGAGGTTGAGAAAAAGTGTACGGTAGCTACATGTGCGTGGTTCGCGTGCGCACTGAGCTCTTTTTCCGTAAAGAGGTTCTGGATCGCGTATGCAGGCGCTTGCTGTTGCTGCACCAGTTGAGCTTTTGCGCGCTCGGCCGGATGTGATGATAAGCCCGAGTCTCGAACCGGGGAGCCGACATCTTCCTCGGGTGCCTTTCTCTTTCGCCTGTTGAAAGTTTCTGCCATGGCTGCGTCGCCGAGCTCAAGATCGACACGATGGCGAGTATGTCGCGTCTTGCGGTTACCGTGGATACCGCCTGGGCTGGCAGGATTGGTGATGCTGAACTGGTTCGGATGCAGGAGCAGAGCGTTGGTGTCAGCCAGATCCAACTGCTCTTTCTCCCGCATCAGACGGGCCCGTTTGCCGGTAATGGTCTGGACGAGACGTTCGCGGAGGGTATTTGCAAGGTGCTTGTATTCTTCTTCGGCGAAATGGACGCGGAACGCATATTCCCGTTGAAATCTTTCTAGATTGTTGGTATGACGATTCTAGGCAAGAAGGTTCATTAGCACGGGCAGGCCACACCCGGCTCTGGGGGGTGCAGAAATCAAGAGAAAACGCAGACTTACTGCCAACATCGCTAAATCTGCATCCTTTTCGGCCTTGGCCTGGTTTACTTCCTGCACGAATCGCGAATACCACATTCCCGCCAGACTAGCCATCTCCTTGGCAAATTTCCCTCCGCCGACAGTATTCTCAATCAGCTGTGCAATCTCGTCCGCGGAGTCGGGAAGCGGGCCCGGCTCGTACGGATCCGCATTGTTGATGAGGGTCATGTCGCATTGAAGGGCATGCAATTGTTGCCGAAACTGAGTGTCTCGATTCTGGCTGAAGGAAGCTGTTAGATCTTGGAGACGCTCCTGAAGCGCACTGCGTCGCTTGTCCCGTTTTGAGAGCGGCACGTTGGTCGGAGGACTTGTCGAGCGTCCACGGGAGTGTATATTGTTAGACATGTTTGGGGCACCGCTACTATGAACTGGAGATGGAGGAGCAGGCGAGTAAGCCATAATCTGGGCGGATCGCTCGCCTGGTAAATTTGCAGAGTAGGAGACGGGGGGAGGGCTGGGTCAAGTGCGAGAGCGATCTATTTCTCTTTCACTCTCCCGCTGTGTATGAAAGACAGGAGCGATTGGGAGGCGGTGGAAAACCGCTGCTGTTAGAGAGCAGTGCAGGTCCCAATTCCGATAAGTAAGCACATTCAGGCAAGAAAGATATCGCAAGATGGACAGACAAAGCGAACCAGAACAAAGTGGAAGGATGAATGGATGGATGAACAGTGACGGAGAAGCAGAAAGCGGGCAG